TAAATACATGCTCAATATAAAACGTAAGTGTAGGAGAGCCACCTCTCCAATGTTCCCAATCCCTGAGTGCCCAACTATCCTCAAATACCTAATCCCGAAAAGGCCGGTAACTCACTTTTTATTACCTCTGGTGTTTCGGGTGTCCATGGGCGGCGCCGATTGCTTTCCATCAGGTGATGCGTCTACACGTTTATCGGCTTATTCCAATAAAATATTATAATTTAACGTCATATATTCTATTATATACCTTTATATTATAATCAAACACCCGGTAGTAATGAACAGAGACGACCTATTTCTCCTACAGAAGTATGTACAATGTACATAGTATGATAGTACTTACATTTGAAATACTGCAGATACCACACCGACTATGTATACCTTAAGAGTGGAACTTTTTGTACCGACCCAGTTTTGTACATAGGCGGACATATTTATTTCCATCTACATCTCTACAAGTGACTTATAAGTGATACGTTAGATATATACTTACCACTGCAATATTTTTGGTTTACACTCAAATTCATTGTTGCTCCTTGCTCCATAGTATACCTACTCTTCTCTGCATCACCCTAATGAAGACTCAATGGTCAGACTGGAAGATAATGCCCACGGCATTAAGTCCGCCATTATGCATACGATCGGGCATGAGTCGTTAAATTAAAAAAAAATAGCTAAATATTTTAATTCGCAACGAAATTCTGTTTTTACATTCACTTTCAAAATTCAAAAATTAATATTCAGTTAAAATATTTTGATTTGATTTAAAAAAAAATAGAATGCAACTGTTATGAATGCAAAGGCACGAGAATCTATCAAACAATTTCTGGTTGCTAGTTTTTTCTTTGTTTGAGATTGTACAGTCAATGGTCAAAAGTGAGTGATGTTCATACGGCAATGCGTAAGTAATTTCATATTAATGTGCATAAAAACGCGTGCGTAAGCATAAACACACGCACGCGTACGCACACGGATAAAAATATGCGTGTGCATGTGTGTATAAGCGCTGCAGCGCAACTGATAGTAGTCTTATGGTACGGTGGCAGTGTTTTGACCTTTGACCGTATATATCTATTGCCCGAATACTGAAAAAGCTACTAAATTCAAGTTGTACTTAAATATCGTGCCATCTCTGTCATTTTACTAAGAATTTGTAGTGACAGAACTATACTTAAGCGCGACTTGTGTCATGTAGTTAACAGTTAAAAAAGTTTTTTAACTGTTCATTACATAACACTGTGAACATGATTGAAAAAGAGTAGGTAACCTATGGAGTTTCTTGCTCGTTCTTCTCCATGGGAATCTACACTTTGGAACGAGCAAATAGATTGAGGCTTCATTAGAGGACTGACGTACCTACAGACTGACATTTTTTCTTATTATTTAATATTTAAATATTTTGTTTTGACGTTCAAAAGTGCCTTCCTGGTCTAATTGAAATAAATGATTTTGACTTTGACTTTGACACTATCTTTTTTGCAATCCGAAGCAAAGCAAAGGCAAGCAAATATCGATTTTATCTTGGTTTCGACAAATGCTATTTTTTAACACAGATCGGCATGGTAAGGTGGTACCTAACCAGTAAAACTTCCCGTTACTTGTTAATTATAGAAAATAACACCAAATAGTTGCCACCTACATAGTTACTTCATTAGCACCATTATTGCCCAGCAAAATATTTTCCATAAAAATTTAGCTTGCTCGCCTTAAAATCGTGAGTTCGTGACTGTGGGAGGCTCTGTAAAACCACATAGGTAGTTAAAAAGCGGTTACATTGTTATTTAACTGTTCATCTTGCTTCGTATTTATCTTGTTAATTACTTCAAAATCATAAATAGACGAGATTACTTAAATAAAAATTTAAAATTATGAATGGACTGGGATAAAGTAACTTTAATAAAAAAAACGTCGTAATTAAGAATGTCCATATCGTATAATTTTAAGTAAATAAGTACTTACTACATCTAACTAATTTAATAATGGTTTATTATGCTTATACACCTAACGGAATGAACTAACTATGATAAGATTTAATACAGAAATAAATAGGATAGAAATAGGCTCTACTGCTGACTGCCTCGTTGGCCGAGTGGTCGCAAGTGCAATTGCCGGGCAAGGGGTCTTGGGTTCGATTCCCGGGTCGGAAAAAATATTACTAGGTCTTTTTACTCAAAAACTCAGTAGTAGCACGGAATCTGGAATTGTGCCCGGCATATGGCAATAGGCTCACCCCCTATTACATATGGGACTCATAACATAAATAGTTAAAAAGTGGGATTACATGGTATAGTGACATTAAGTGCCGTAATATGCACCTCACCCCGGTGTGGATAAAAGGCGTGATGTTATGATAAGGTAATTTTGGTTTATTACGCTTAAACACCTAACGGAATGAACTAACTTTGATAAGGTTCAATACAGAAATAAACAGGATAGAAATAGGATCACCTCTTGTAATTCAATCAGATGTAAGTTTAGCTGTATCTACAGCTACAATAATACATAGCTACCTATAAAATAATAAAAAATAGTATTGCACATATAAATGCAGACTAGCTAATGGAGATTAGACATCAAAACATTGCATAATCTATACATTTCGGTGTACATTAAATTGTGGTTGATTGCGTACAATCCCATTAGCCATATAACTTCTGGCTTCATAATCCAATTTAAACGGAGAAACCCGAGTTACGAATGGTCACACATAATGGTAAGAGATGTCCAAAATAAATAAAACAAAAGCAAGTACGAACCTCTCGTAGAAAGCGGGACATTGGTAGATTTCTTCAACAATGGTGTCCATTCTGATGTAGATTCGCCCTCCTTACTTAACGAAACTGAATCTAATGAACTTCTCGTAAGAAACACTTTAGAAAACAACTGTGTATTCAACATGTTTCTTTTTAACCGACTTCAATAAAGAAGGAGTCTCTCAGTTAGACCTGTAAGTATGTTTGTTTGCTATTATCTCACGATATGCTGATTCGATTTTGATGCGGGTTTCAAAGAACTGTTTATTACGCTTAGGTGCAAATTTTAGTACATTAACCGTCCTTATTATTATCTGAATGACTACACAAACTCAATATAATTTATTCCCGAAATAAACAAAAAAGTCACATTATAAATGTACGCACTTGACGGTGTCCCACTGAGTACTGGTCGGTTGGATATTATGCAATTAATAAATTAATTTTAATATGTACTGATAACAATGAAGTGTCTACTCAACTGTTGATATGGGCCATTCATTACTAGAAATATCAGGAATTCTGTTGGAAAATACCTTCCATCAATGTTCATTTACTGTTTACATATAAACTTATCAATTGGGTAGTTTCCTTAGCGAAGAATAAATCGTTTTGGCTTCTCAGTAAAGTAAAGAATTCGAAAATCAAATCATAATTTCATTAATTCATCGAAATGCGAATATGTATTTTTCGAAGGTATATTTTTTTGTCTTTAAATTAAATAGAAGTTTTTAAATTAAGTGCCTTTTCTTCCTCATTACTCTAGTTTGTCTTTCAATATAAATAAATACTGTATTAAACTAGGACAGTATCTATGTATGCCACGGTCTGCTTGTAATTTTAGATAGGTGCTGAATTTCAACCACGATCATGACTTCATTAGTTATGTATTCGCTATTACAAAAACAAACTATTAAATATTAACCTTTTGAACGCCAGAGCAAAAACACATGAACCTGCCCTCAGCGCCAAGCCACAAATTCCGCGCAAATTTCTACGGAAGAAATAGGGATTCCAATAGGGAATCAAAATGTTGATTTCGTGTTTCCGGTTCCGCTTTTTCTGTCATGTATTTGTGTCGTTGGCGTCCAGGGACAGTTTTCACTTGTCACTTATATGTGACATCGGCGCTCAAAAGGTTAATTAACATTTTCTTATTTACATTCTATTTATAATACTTTTGTTTGTAAACATACTGTTATTGTTAATTTTGAAAAAACTGCTATGTACGAGCGGGGTAAAGTAACCTAACCTAACCCCCAAACGATCGACCAATGTAATCACAAATTACAATAAGTAACTAATAAAAAATCTATTTCATTTTAATTTTTTTCAAACGTAGGTAATCACTTCTATTTTATAATCTTCTCATTGTTTATTTAATGTTGTCATTATGCAGGAATCAAAGCCTTTGCTCTGCAGTCACACCTGCAACCTGCAACCTGCAACAATTGCTCATAATTTTACAAAAATGTTTAGAATAACACCCTTCATCATAAATCCTAATATTTACTATTGTTGTAACGGAAAAATACTATTCGCTATCACTTGTAAACAAACAATACGGATAAACTTGACATAGATAATAATTAGATATGTGTGATTAGCCTTATCTGTGGTAAATAACTTCGCGTGCCATACTGGCTCGAGCTGGAACCAAGATGAATGTTTGAAGTATCAAAAGATTCTGTAAATGCAAGGATATTACTTCTGAAAATTATCTCGAAAAACTTTCTTTGTAATTTTCTAAAGTTTTTGTCTATTCTTTAGAATTCGCACCCAAAACCTACTCGACCACTCGATCTATATGGTTATTACATAACTGATTTCTTTTAAAAAGGAAAAAAAAACAATTAATTAACTTAGTACTAGATTTTTTACAAATCTTTCTAGATGTTTAGAATTATGAATTCAGATAGAAACGCTTTTTTTTTGAGGGGAGTTAATCATCCAATGACTTCTCCCGCCCCGGTGAGGCGAGAGGGAGTGTCAGACTCTTACTGACTAAAAACCACCCCGTTCCTACTCCTGCACTTCGAGCCGAAGCCCCGGCAACCCGTTAAGTGTTCCGCGGCTCCGTATCGGCATCAGCCCTGTTGGGCCCTGTCTGTGGTGATCTACCACTACCATAGGTACCAAAGTTTATTTAATCTAGAGTGGACCTCGATATGAAATGAAAAGAGTATTTACCTAACAAATAGAGATACATATACATCCTCAGAAACTTTTACATTTAAGTATAAGTAGGTACTTAACGTGAAATAGATTCGCAAACATACTTTGCAAAAATTACCCTTATTGCGAACCGAAGAACGATTTTACAGAAAATCACATTGCAAATGCAATAAAGGTCAATTTGAAAGACAAATACTGGTTATAGGCTACCTTACCTAATAGTCTACTGAACCATAAATGACTTAGTATAATATCTAGTATTTCTTCAGTTGTGCCACCATTTCAGAGCGGCTATGAAGAAGATGATAATTCTTTTTATTGCATTCTTCTTTTCATCAATAAATGGAAAGACAGAACAAGCCAATATGATTGTTGACATCATCCAAGCTGCTAATAGACCGTCTTCTGTCATTAGCAAACTTTGTTGGACACCTAGTAAGTCAAACATTTTTAAAAAGTTTTTAGGTCTTCTGTATTTTAGTCTTACCTTAATAAGCTAAGTGTTTGGTCAGTGGGTCGTCTAAGGGGCAAGGAGTTTAGGACTTACATACTCCCCCTGCAATGTTGAGCAATGAAGTACACGTGTTGTTCTCAGGAATAACTTTAATTAAGTGTCTTAATAACTATCTTACGCTACTTACTTATAGGGCGAGGTGTCACACACACTACACCCCAAATGACCTTTAGGGCTCATTTTCAGGCGAACCTGAAGCCCTAGATAAAAATTGCCCACATAATATTCACCTTATTTTTAGGTATACTAAACGATAGAAATGAAAAACCAGCCACTTATAAGAATTCTCATTTTTGATGAAAAAGTCCTCGCACCCCTAAGGCTACACTTTAGCTAAGTGTTTCTCGTCGCGGAGAACCCAACGGGTAACCGGGGCTTCAGCTCGACGTGCAGGAGAAGCAACGGGGTGGTTTTTAGTCAGTAAGAGTCTGACACTCCCTCCCGCCTCACCTAGGCGGGAGCAGTCATTCGATGATTTTCCACCCTTAAAACAAAGGGTTTCTCCAGTTTTATTCCTTCACGAAACGTCTATGTACTCACGTCCTTATATTTTTTGTAAAAAATTACTAGAGAACCAGGGATTTACTCTTTTAAAACCAGTCCGGTTGGCACCATGAACACTCCTAAAAGGCACTCTGGCGTCTAATAGATTAGCACCATACAGAATCCAGTTGTACAGGTCTAAGATAATCATAAATGTGCTCTCACACATACAATTCATTGTGCCAGTAGTCTAGTCAAACAGTTTTGATAACTAGTAATCACTGAGTAAATATTTTGTTTCTAACCGCAAATAAGAAGTCGTGATTACCGTAAAAATTCACTGTTGTCAGCCTATGTAGTAAAGCACCTAGTTACTATTTTTTTACCATGTGTTGTGTTTTGTCGTGTGAGCCTTATTACATCTTCTCCCCACTCGCCCTAATCCCAGAATTCGCAACCGTCTTCAAGTTCCTAATCCCCAAAACGCCGGTAACAACTTTTGGTATCCATAGACGGCGCCAATTGCTTACCATTAAGTGATCCGTCTGGTCGTTTACCGGCTTATACCATAACAATGAGAATAAGACTTTTTTATTTTTCAAAAACGAAGGAGAAGTATACCTATTATTTAAATGTACAGAAATACAGAAATCTTAATCACAATTGCAGTTGCAGGGTAGATCAAAAAATACATAGTTTATAATTGCAATTTCTAAGTTAACCTAAACAGTGACATTTCGATAGTAGATAATTAAAATTAAATAAAAAAATCATATAATAAATACTCCTTGCAAACAATAGTACTGTATAACAATAATTCACAAGACATTAAGTTGGATACCATAAGTGTAGTAAATGTCCACGAACGGTAATAAAAAAAAATCATATCGAGAGTTCCAAATTTGAAACTTTATTGTCAATACCAGTGCTTTTATCTGATCTAGGATTGGATCCTTCTTACCTAGCACCAAGAAGTAGTACATTACATACTATTAATTTTCTGTTGTGTGATATTTTAATATTTTAATGTTTCAGCCAAAATAATTCATTTGTCCTCGGCACTCGTGAAAGAAAATATTCAATTCAGTGCTAATGCCGATTTGACAAACGATTACATGCAATTTTACGATGAGGAACAGCAAATCGTATTTCTGGCTGATCTTAATTGTCCCGATATTGAAGATTATTTTCAAATGGTTTGTTTTTTATAAATAAGTTATTGGAGATTCATTAAAGTTAAGTTAAACGGCGAAACATCCGAGGTCTTCATTGACGATTTTAGTAAGCAACACAATTCACTATCTCATTCAGTAAGACCTATATTAGATTTTAAAATACTAAAAACTACGTGAATAACATTTATTCAATGCGTCACGTATCTACCAATTAATTAATATGTATTTAGAATTATAGTAAAAAAAGAAAATTAAAAAGGCGTCCAAATTAAATGGTAATAGTTAACTGCCTACATATTGTCGTACGTTTCATATTTGTTTTTTTTTTTTAAAAAACAGATTAGTACGAGAACTTTTTTCCGTGCACCATTCCGCTGGATTCTATTTGGAGACTCTGGGTCTGTCAACGAGGATAATATAGTGCCAGAAGCCATAGCTAACGCAGATGTGCTGATTGACTCCGAAGTTTTGGTAGTACGAAGAATTGACGATGCATATGAAATGCACTTCAGTAAGTATAAGCTCAACCTCAAAGCCCAATCTCTGGTCACTGGTGACCATTACTTACCTTATACCATTGTAGACATTATTTTCGATGTATAGAGACTACTTTTGTATGAACAAAGTTTGGGTATTTTTGGTACGATATGTCAAGTGATTAATGTCAAAAATGTAGAATATATTTTCCTTGGCTATGTAAAGTTTAATGTTACAGAAGATAAACCGACCGATACACCAGGTACAATCTTGATCATCAAATGAACTCTCAATAATATTTTCCTGACAAGATTAACATATGTTCTTCCAGTTTACAATCTTATTCCAGTTTACAGAATAAGCCCAAACAATACTTGGAACACAGAATACTATGGAACTTGGGATAGCGAAAATCGATTCCAAAAATCGAATCGATTCGTCGAGCCCACATCTCTAAGACGTCTTGATATAAATGAATATGAAATTAGCATTTGCTATGTGCTAACAAACAACAATAGCATCAACCATTTATCTGACGGACTGTAAGTGTTACGCACGCACCGTTACTTCTTCACATAGAAAGGTTATCTCAGATCCCTATCATGCTTCCACATTATATATAAAAACTACGTTTAAAAATCCGACTTTAAAAAACCAAAAACTAATAACAAACTCTCGGATTTCCAAGGATTCCGTCATTAGATCCTGACTTTATGGAAATGGGACTATCTCGGGAGTAGGTATACCCTTATAAAAAAAACAAAAATTTTTCAAATCATTTCTCAAATGGCGGAGTAATCGGTGATCAAACAAAATAAATCCAATAAGAACAAAAAGGGACTTTAAAACGTCAATAAAAAAATTAAAAAACTGAATCTATTTACTCATTCCTAGTTGTACATTTCCTATTAAGACGAACGAGCATCTCCATACCTTTTTCAATCAGGTTTACAATACAATTTTTTAGTTACATATTTAAATGAGATTAGTTAGTCTTCAAAGGATACACAAGGAACAGGATACAGGAACATAGCATCCTCATTTTGAAGTACCAGAAGGGATTCACAGTCGCATGTCGTCCGTGGCTAGCAAAACTCTTCAGCTATAGACTTATTCCGTCTCATAATGATGGTACCACAACGCACCATTTTTAAATTTATTAGACCACACAAAGCATTGTGATTTCTTAAGTTTATAATCTCCTATTCACATATATAAATTTAAAAAAATATCACCTATCTAAATCATCGTTTCTTATGTTTCTTAACCGGCTAGTTAAAAATAATGATCTATGTAGGTCATATTAAACAAAGATATTCAGATAGTACCTACATAGAATACATCAGACAGACAGACTGGGAATTTTGTTACAAAACGTTACAAGGAAAAAATTACATGTTCGTTATTGTTAGTCAAACAACCAGTTGGGAGACTTTTATGTTCTTTATGATCTTATGTTCTTTAAGACGTAAGTATTGCAAAATTATTGCAGAGACGATCACGTTGATACGATTACAAAGGTGAATTTCCCCACGACCAACCATTTGTTGGACTTCCTTAATGCTGGAAGGAAATATATCTTTGCTGAAACATGGGGCTACAAGGTCAATGGCACCTGGAACGGTATGACTGGTTACTTGGTAAGGGGCGAAGTTGAAATTGGGGGTAAGTGTGCTTTAATAGTTTACTTTACTTTATTAGTTTTCTTACAAACAAACAAAATACTTACTAATAAAATATCAGTATTGGTTATCTCTATAGAAATTAATAAACAAAGGACTATACGTGATAATGAATGTTTTAATAGTTTTAGACAAACGTCCGGCACCATCGTTAATTCTTTTGCACTTACAAAAACCTTCGAGTCATCAGCAATTAATCATGAAGATAATACCTTCAAACTAAATCTAGACAACATGCATACAATCCAAAACGGCTCAACAAGTAATAACAAAAACTACACCATATTAGTAACACAAAATGGCAACCAAAACACTTGGCACTGGTGACATAATAAGCAATTACTTATAGAAGATGAACAACACTGCAAGAATAGCCACTAATAACATTTTGCCATTCACCAATTAGGTTGCAAAGCAATTGATTGATGATGAGCTAATCATTGTATGTAACGGTCTCCGAACGATGACTGAGTTTTTTTATCTCTGGGTATTTTTGGACCGTACAAAAGAATGACCTTCTATTCAGATTTAGAGCAGTTAGAATTCGATTCAGTGTAAGAAACTTGTTCGCTTTAAGTTTCAATTACAATGGCTAATTGTATTCGCGGAATTTAGTTCTGTCTTGTTTAAAGTTCGTGTACTCAAATACTTTTTTAATCGATAAATTGAATTATTGTCTTCATGATTTCATTTATCTCTATATTAACCTTCTTCAAAATTTCTTCAACTATCTAAGTATAAAAGAATAACAAAAATACTAGCTCTGACTATACATAACTATCCTCTTTTTTATCCACAGGGTCTCCAATGTTCTTCACGTTTGAAAGAGTATCGATAGTCGACTACATTTCGAGTCCAACACCAACTCGATCTAAATTCGTGTTTCAACAACCGAAACTATCATATGAGAACAATTTGTTCCTATTACCGTTTAATACAACTGTATGGTATTGTACTGTAGGTTTGGTCTTCGTAATATACCTTGTACTCCTTCTGGTGACGAAGTGGGAATGGAAGAAGACAAAACATACTATTGAAACGGTTAGTGGATTAAAGTTAATTCTTTATAATGGTAATTGGAACCTAGAGAAATAAATAAACATACTTATGTATGAATAATTAAATATTCTCAACAACGACTACGAACCTTTTTTAATGTTGCTTGTTTAATATGGTGTTCCCACTTTTCAGACGACTGGCTACAATAGCAAAGTAATTTTATGCTTAAGAAGATTAAAAAAACATTCAATTAAATGTATTGTTTCATATTTTTAGCGGGAAAAAGACGCTGGTGTCCTAAGAGCTAACGTTGTTGATGTTATCATTTTGATATTCGGAGCAGCTTGTCAACAAGGAAGTCCTTCGGAACTGAAGGGTGATTACGATTTTAAAGTGCTTTAACTCGTCGAGTACCGGTTTTATAGACACAATTAAAGAACAATAGGTCGCGGTCACCGGTGACCGCTTGGTGTTTGACGGATTAACCACTTAAAAAGTATACTACAATGTAGTTAATGACTTGTAAAACAAATATCAACAAAAGTTTATTTAAAAGACCGTTTACAACAACATCTGTATCACAGGCCTCATCTCATCTTTCCAGGATCACTAGGTCGTATTGTAATGCTGGTACTGTTCCTTGCTCTGATGTTCCTCTACACCTCCTACTCAGCCAACATCGTTGCTCTTCTCCAATCTAGTTCTTCTCACATCAAAACACTTGACGATTTACTCCACTCCAGAATAAAATTTGGCGTCCATGATACGGTCTTCAATAGATATTATTTCTCGGTAAGAATGTTTTCTCTATATCTATTAGATATAGGTAAAGTTTATGAAACTAAAGGATCTTATTTATTACAGACTGCAACAGAACCAGTAAGAAAGGCAATTTATGAGAAGAAAGTGGCTCCACCAGGCACCACCCCTCGGTTCATGACTATGGATGAAGGAGTCTTACAAATGCGCAAGGTCCTCAATATAAGTCCACTAATGCAATTGTAAGAGATGCAAAGACTAATAGTAAAAGGTTATTTCAGGGGCTATTCGCATTCCACATGGAAACAGGCGTTGGTTACAAGTTTGTAGGAAAATATTTCAATGAAGGTGAAAAGTGTGGTCTTCGTGAGATCCAGTATTTGCAAGTTATAGATCCCTGGCTAGCTGTTCGAAAAGAAACTCCATTCAGAGAGATGTTCAAAATTGGGTAAGATAAGACAAAAATTTGATATAGATTAGGAGAAGAAGAAAAGCAAAGAATGATAAGAATCAGATTAAATACAAATTAACAATAGTGATCAAAATTTAAAAAATAATACATAAAACGTTCTTATAATATTCACCATATTAAGTATTAATCATGTATTCTGATATATTTATTTACAGAACGAAAAGAATTCAAGAACATGGGTTACAGTATAGAGAAAACCGTCTAATGTACGAGAAACGTCCAAAATGTTCAGGCGGAGGATCAAACTTCGTATCCGTCAGCATGGTCGACTGTTATCCTGCAATACTAATATTATCTTACGGAACTATTGTCGCACTATTCTTTCTTGGTCTAGAAATATTAGTCCATAAAAGAGAAAAAGTATTACTAAAGTTGAAATGCATGAAAGAGGAAATTACGATTAATGACAGAAGTAAATTCTTTAGACGTAAATGCACTTGATGTAGAACCATTAGTAGTTTGAAATATAGTTAAAGCTACGGTTAACACTGAGTCATGAATAATAAATTCTGTAAACACTTAAATGGTAGTACAACCCTTGTGATTAGCAATCAAACGGTACATTATAGCCAATTAACAAGAAACATCATCAATTAGCTTGGATTTAATAGCAGGATGATAGCAGGATAAATGATAGTAGCACACATTTCTTACGTCATTTTCATTGTGACATCACAAACCATTGTTGTCTTCACCATGAAGTATCTTACGTTTGTCTTAAATATAATTTGTTTGGACTTTTGCGTTTCATTTAATACAAATACTGAACTGAAATCATTGTAGATGTCGCTAAGTCATATGATAAACCTACTTCAGTTATTGCTAAAATGTGCTGGGAGACAAGCAAACGTAGCAAATACGGTAGGTACTGAAAAATGACAAAAAAACTGTTAATGAAACCTTGTTAAAACATAAATATTCCTTACAGCACCTGTAGAAGCGAAATTGGCAAAAATGCTAGCAAACCTAGGTAGACCGATGAACATTCGATATTTACGGCAGAATGAAACCATTGATAATGATAATTATCCTAATAATCATCTATTATTCATATTGAACAGAACTTGTGATGATGCGAATGCTTTTCTCAGATGGGTATGTTTATTTTATATCCCAAACATATGTTGTGTACTAATATTATCTAATACTAATGTAATATGTTGTTATCTATTTAGAATTTGATTGTGTTCCAACAGTTCCAAACTTATGAAGCTTATTTTTTCAAGGCAAGCGCAAACCACAAGTTTAGAAAGTCCCACAGATGGTGATTCTTGGAAAATCATTAATAATAAAAGATGAAACCTTTAATGTTTCTCCTGAATTTGACGATATTAGGATTTCAGTAGATTCAGAAGTCATAATTATTGGAAAAATGAATAATTCTGAAGAAGTGTCATTACACACGTGTAAGTAGAGGTTCCTTTTACCAATAATGTAACATAGTTTTTAATATTGCTGCTTGCTGGTTTCGGTGTAATTTGTTATAAAATTGTGAATATTTTCTTACAGTTTACAAGCTAAAACCCCATACAAAATGGATTATAGAAGACTACGGGACTTGGTCACTCGATACTGGGTTTACCAAATCTACGACTAGAATTGAGTCAAACGTGATAAGACGAAAGGATTTATGGGAGAATGTTTAATTACTCCGTTGCTATTTCTGACAATCGAACTAAAACTGATCTACTTGGACTTGGGTAGGTATTCATCAGCATTGTTTGCTGCATTAAATTCTTCTGCAGTATCATTCTTTGTTTTCTTAATTATGTCTTCTTTTTTTATTTACAGCAACATCTTTATTGACACCCCTGCCAAAAGCAGCTTTCGTACGATTGTTCCCTTATTTGACTTTCTCAATGCTACTAAAATTGTGAAATTCTCTGATACTTGGGGCTACTTCATAAATGGATCTTGGAATGGAATGATTGGTGACATTTATCGGGAAGAAGCAGACTTGTGTGGTATATTATATTTTTCACTTGATCTAAGCTGATTTGTGTTTGTCTCTATTGAAAGGATTTATACTCGGGACATCTTTTTAGTTTAATGTAGAAAGATAGGTACTGAAATCATAATTATTCCTCCAAGACAAAAGTAGTAATACGGTAGTTAACAGGTAGTCAAATTCAATACTTTTATTGAAATGTCAAAAACGATATTTTTTTTATAAATTTTGCATTGGATCGCTACTTATGACGTCATCATATTTCTGCGTCAAACAGCATAGTTACTTATTTCCTTAACATTTGCCAGAAAAAATCCAAAAGGAGGTAAATTGTCAAATCAATGGATGAGACTAGGTATGATTATTTTTAACTCGTCGAGTACCGTCGTTATAGATACAATTAAAGAACAATAGGTTGCCGTCACCGGTGACCGCTTGGTGTTTGACAGTTATTATTTATTGCATTGAAAAGTTGAAACAATTTATTTTAAACCTAGCATACTAGCCAAATACTTGGTAAGAGTTCAAATCCACACTTATGATGGTTTTTGTTATTTTAGGAATTGTAACGTTCATAACGAAAGAACGTATGACAATTTTGGAATATTTGACCCATCCTACACCCATCACACTGAAGTTTGTCTTCAGACAACCGCCCTTGTCGTACCAGAACAATTTGTTCCTTCTGCCATTTTCCACTGGTGTCTGGCTGTGTACTGGTGCATTCATTGTTATATTAATTGTCATATTGTACGTCAACACGATATGGGATTCAAAGAAATACAAAGATTATAATAAGGTAAGATCAAGAATTCAATGGGAATTTAAACATTTCTTTGTTTTTTTTATGGCATAAGCCGGTAAACGAGCAGATGTTTCACCAGATGGTAAGCAATCGGCGTCGCCCATGGACACCTGGAACACCAGAGGCGTTACAAGTGCGTTACGGGCCTTTTGGGGATTAGGAGTTTGAGGATTCAGAAATTGGGGAAGGGGAGGGTATTGGGCCTCAGGTAACCTCACTCACACGACGAAACACAACGCAAGCGTTGCTTCACGTCGGTTTTCTGTGAGGCCGTGGTATCACTGAGGTCGAGCCGGCCCATTCGTGCCGAAGCATGGCTCTCTCACACTTAAATTGCGTAAAAAGATTTGCGTTTGTTTCATGACTTTCAACTGTTTTAGCAAAAAATTGACCAAACATGCTTACCACCAACTTGGAGTGACATAACAATTTTTGTTTTGAGTGCTATCTCTCAACAAGGGAGCTCTAATGAGTTAAAAGGTACTTACCATACTTTAATATTATTCAGCAGTTATATAGATATTTCATTGATTTTTCTTCTTTTCTTTCAGGCACATTAGGACGTCTTGTAATGTTCTGGTTTTCTTAGCATTTGTTTTCTTATACACATCTTACTCTGCTAACATTGTCGTGTTACTTCAATCGACGTCTAATCAAATTCGAACCCTCTCTGATCTTCTGCATTCTAGACTGGAACTTGGTCTGGAACATGCTCCGTTCAACAAATTCTATTTTTCGGTAACAGTTTTATTTTCTTTCATCCTCATTTTTCTTTTTTAAATCACATTACACATATTACCAGCTCGTGATATTAGTTCAGTTACATTACAGGTTCCTCTACATATGAGACGATTTTTTTTTTAATATTTGATCGGTCGACGTTTGGCCTTTATCTGCCAAGTAGTAAGCGATGATGCGGCCTACGATGGAGCACGTGTGCCCATAAGCATCTATTTACTCAGGCCTTGAATACATCCAGGTTATAGTACCCTTCAGGAAACACAGGCTCTGGCAAAGAATTTCGATTACCATGACCCTTGACTTTTCCTATATCGTTAATGTGTTTCTAATGGTTCTCAGAGTGCATACACAGCTGACGATCCAATAAAGAAAGCGCTAGTTGATACTAAGATTGCACCAAAGGGTGTACTAACAAATGTTATGAACATTGAACAGGGAGTCAGGATCATGCAAAAGGTAAAGTTATTAGAAATCAATTTCCTTTATATCTACTGCAAAATATTTGTCTAACGTCAGCAATATATTTTCACAGAAACCATTTGCCTTTAATATGAACACAGGCACTGGGTACAGAATTGTTTCAGCAATTTTCCAAGAACATGAAAAGTGTGGGCTTCAAGAAATTGAATACATTCCAAATAGCAACCCTTGGTTATGTAGTCGAAGATTGTCTCCCTATGGAGAATTGTTTAAAGTTGGGTAAGGAATTATTAACACACAATATAAGACAGGTAATCAAATACTATGTAGTAAGCTTCTACTTGCAACTACTTGCCTAATTAACAATATGAACGAATCCTTACTATATATTATAAATCGGAAAGTGAGTTTGTTTGTTTGTTTGTTCCGCTTTCAAGCCGTAACTACTAAACGGATTGCTTTGAATTTTTACAGACGTTAAGTTAGAAGTCCGGATTTAATTAATAGGGCACTTTTTATCCAGGAAAAATGTGATATTCCCGAGGGAAAACTAAAGTATTGGTATAGATGGTATAGATGACTTTTTATCCTTTTGTGACGCGTGCGAAGCCGCGGGTAAAAGCTAGCAATAAATAACAAAAACTACTAATTTAGGTTCATTTGCTTTCAAAATATCTTTACATATTCCTGTTTTTTTTTTTTTGTGCAATGTTACCCTGTCCCTTTCGAAGGACTGCAGGAAGAGATTCCTACGGGAATATGTATCTCCAATTTATTTATATATGTATTATCCTGTGTTCTGTCTGTGTTTTGTGCATAAATAAATAAATACATTAGCTATTTTATTGATTGAATAAGTTCCTACTCAGTGTCATAAAATAGCAATACTTATAAACAACATGAAACAGACATGCAATAGCTCCACCGGGGTGGTCATGCCACTGACTTACCTACCTACATACATACTTAACATGTCAACCCTTTTATTACAGGTATATCAGGATCCAAGAACACGGTTTGAGTGACAGGGAAAACCGATTAATTTACGCCAAGAAACCAGCTTGCACCGTCATGGGTGGCAGTTTCGGTTCCGTCAATATGGTTGATTTTCATCCTGTCTGCTTGGTGTTGCTCTACGGAATGATTCTAGCGTTCCTCCTCCTTGGCGTCGAAATTTTAGTTCACCGAAAACAGATGAAAATGCGCAATCAAGCTAGAGTTGAATAAAATGTTCAATTGTGTTTAAAAATAGCGTCTTGTGAGATTAGGTTTTGGTTTTGTATTGCTTATAAAATGTGCAGCAACGATGCTTTTATCGCCAAGATCCTCCTTATTTTTTTACTGTCAATAGAAAACTGTTGATGGCAAGTCCACCGCTAACGTCAGTCACCGGTGACCCCATGGCGTTTAACGTGTTAATAGATGATTTTCACTAAAACTTAATATTTGTTTGCAGCTTTTCCGTAGGCACCTCTCTATATTTAAGCTATAAAGGCCTATTATAAAGTTTAAACCATAAAAGTATTAATACAGTTTGGTCATAACTCTTTATACCTAGTTATAATTAGTCATTTATGCTTATTGTAAGTAAACCATGTTCTTTATGAGTGAATAAACAAGCATTAAACTTAAAGTGAAGTTTATTTCTTCATACATAATCAAAGTACCTACCTATACTTCCATCCAACCTACTTATACATATCTATGGAATGAAACATGTCCAAAGGCAGCCAGGCAGTCTGTCGCACCTACATTACTGCGCCGTTATCGGCTTTAAAACCGGTAATTACATGGGAATCGATTATTGCGAGTCTGCAACGCGACTGGATCTCGCCAGCTGGATTGATGCACGACCAGTGAAATAGCAATTAAGATAAACACCGGCCACTGGCTCGCCATCTGCGTCGCTAACTGGGTTCCTGGTTCAAGTGACATGAATTATTTACATAGTAGGTACATTGCAGATAGGGACAGCAATTTGAATAAAGAAATGTTTTTATTAATTTGTTTCTGTTTTACCTTTATTACATTGTACACAATAGAATGTACAGACTGCACGCTGATTTATCATTTCCGCAAAAAACGACTAACTGTATAATTTACAAATTCTTGTCGATATTTTAAAATAGGTATCTAGTATTTGAAATCAAAAGGAGTGTTAGAGTGCTTAATATTGCAAGCATTAAGCATCAATTACGTCTTTTAATAAGTATAAGTACCTTTGTTGAATTGGAGACTCGATTGCCATGCAATGAGAAAAAAAAAGATACCTAAGATGCATTTATTTGTGGTAGGCCTTTCCCTGAATAACTTTTAAAATACTCGAATGGGAAAGACCCCGATATACAGGATAACCCATGGCGCAGCGTTTTTTACCTAATCTGTGTAATACGTATTTCTTACACACTGACGTCACAAATTTATTCATTTACTTTAAATGCCTTTGCGAAGTTTTATGTTAATCGATTTTCTGCAGAACCATCGATTAGCTATCAATTCAGGTACATCAAACAAAAAATATCCTAGATCTGTGATTTCATTACAATTAAAGATAAATTGAATTTGATTAGATAACGTTTGAAGGAACCACATTGTTATTCGATATCGATAATGAGTGATATCAAAAAATTACCTGAAGTGCTGAAGTGCGACCGTTTTAGTCACAAAGGAATGTTTATTTGCGCAAAATGGATTTGAAAATAGTGTTGTTTGTGTTCGCTTGTGTTATTGGTAAAACTGTTGGTGAGTATCCTTTGAGATACCTATAAGTAAGTACCTAGTTGAAAATAGCTATGGTAATTGCTATGAGTAGATGAGTAGATCTTTATCAATCATTAGCATACAAGTGTGTGTGTGTGTAAACAATCTAAGTTTCGACGTCACAGCCAGGACAAACAGGATCCTGAATTTCGTTAACCAAATCGTCTGCAAGCCTTTGTTGATGCAACGTATGGTTCATATTTTCAGATAGGTATTTTAGATAGCAATTTAGGTAGGTTTCAGAAAGTAAAGTCTGTGAATAATAACTTACTGGGTAAGTATGTCAAGGGCTTGCATAATATAAAGACATCCTGATGCAAATTGTAGTACGATGTGATGTTACAAAGTTGTAACTTACGATTTGAAATCTAAATCTAGGTACTCACTAGTACTTAGGTTATTAGATCGGGTTCTTGGTAGCGATGACGTCTTTTGAATATCCTCTCACCTTCTCATCACTTTGCACCTCTATAGCCCTTCGAGGAATGAAAGGCAAGATGTCCGGTTATGTAGGGATAAATGATGATTAAGAAATGAAAGAAAGAAAAAACTATTTCACGCTAAAAAACAAGTACAGATGTGTTATTCTATTAGTAACCATTACTTTTAGTACCATCCTTAAACATAGATTCAACCGTACATAACAAATTAACAATTTTTTCCAGGACAACTACGATGCTACGCCTGCAGTTTTTCGTCGGTAGACTCAAACCAGGATTGTCTTACGATAACCGATGACACTCCTACTATTGATTGTCCACACACATATTGTACCATTCTGAGACAAGAGTTTGTGGTAAGTTCCTATATTTTAGGTACCTATATTTTATCTTAGTGGTTGCAAAAATAAAACAATCATATTACACAGGTAGTTGAAAAAAAAACCCTTCTCTGGGAAAATAGGAGGTTACCAAAACAACAAAAATAAGCTATGATATGATATGATCCATAAAAATTCACCAAGTCTTTCATATCACATTTTAAAAGAAGGACTGCGTAGGTACTATGTGCCTACGATGAATAACAAACATATCAGAAAGATGTCGTTCAAAATGGCTGTCATATCAAAATTATTTAAAAATAACGGTACCTATATCTTTTTTCAGGATCCTGTCGGTCAAGTTGCCAGTTTTTCTCGAAGTTGTGAATCGCAGCCAGATTTCTTGAACCATGATATATCTGATAATACTTTCAGGACCTTTTACAGAGCTTGTACTACTGACCATTGTAATATCGGTATGTACCTACCTACCTAGTGACTTACTTACTAACCTACCTACATTTTTAATTTAGAAGAGTAAATACAGATAGTATAGAGCCAATTCATGATGCTACTATCTACAATCTATTTTTCTACAAAGACTTACGTATGTACCATGTAGGATTCATGTCCCGCCGTAATAAATTTGAAAGATATTGTGAGGTAGGTACCCTACAGTAGAGACTCTTTATTTTTTGGTCTAGTAGGTACCTACCTTGTAGTAGGTACTAGTCCTAAGGGTAACCTACCCTACAGGGCACTTGACTAACTGACGGATAATATTTAATGTAGGTATCCGTCGATTATTAACTGGAATTTAACTAGACTATAGGAAAGTATCCTGATGTAACTTTTCTATTTAGTTCTTCCTGCAGTCATTAACATATTTTTTTTATTTTGTATCATCTGTGCAAGATGTTTAGTCAAAACTATTAAATTGAAACGTTTGTTTTACAGGTGATGGTATACAGTCGGTAGTCGGTGGCAATTTATCTCCAACACCAGAATATAACGGAAAGAATCTGCTTGTACCAGGTACAGGGAGCGGTGCAGTTATAAAAATGAGTGTTCTGTTATTACTCGTAAGCATTTTTATTGGAACAATAATATAATTTATATTCTTTTTACACTTATTTGTCTTTTATTACGTTGCCTACAATTATCTAATTTACCTACTTGCTTCCCTATTCTGCTTGTAAGCTTGTTCATTTATAGCATAACTCGTCAGCCGATCAGCACCCACTGTAAAATACCAGACGTACATTCCTATTATGTCGATATTACGTATAATGTAATTCATTCATTCATGTGAATATCAATAAAATGTTAATTTATTCCCAAAACGAACTTTATACACTGTAGTAAAGTAGTAAACGGTAAAATGTACCCGTTGCTATGGCAACAAGAATGTAAATATAATATTACTATTATTTTCTAGTTGTTGTTATCATTGCTATTATGTGTGGTAGATTACTGAAAATGTTGTAGATTTTTATTAAAATGTTTTGTATGGTTACATTATTCAAGGTGTTTTGAACGTATCAATAAAATTTTGACAGTTTCCTCAACGCAAAATGTCAGTCTAGAAAAGTAATAGGTTATGTTGTCTATATTTAGTAAAAATGTAATTAGTAACATAAATTAGTAGTTCTGTTGGTTGAAAACCAAACATGACAACTTCACCTACTAAAACGAAACAAAAATTGTCACTGCGAAAACGTCTATTTGTAAAAAAATCGCCGAAAGTTGGGTGCTTCGTCGATACAGATTCCAATGATGAATTCGCGCAGACTTCGTCTCGACCTATCTCTCCTGCGGATCCCTTCTTAGCTCAAAGTGCTCACAGTGCCGACCATAGCATAGAAGCGTCAAACCATCCAAACTCTTCTGCAGAACCACTGTATAACAATGTAAGTCATTCTGCACCTAACTACCATCATGAAGACGACACTAATCCAAAGTGTTGTCGAACATTCTTCAGACGATCACGTCCTAAAAGCCTCGTCGATAACCAGCTTACTAAAGACGAGGCTCGATCAATAACAGGTAGTCCAGAGAATAATTCTAACAGCATAAGTGATCAAACTATCTGCTCACAGACAAAATCTGAAGAAATACCCAAAGCTACAGTGAAGTTCCCTAAAAGTGATGATGCTAAGAAATGCTTTGAACATTCAGGATCATTTGAAGGAATCAAACCAAAGAGTAAATTATTTGTTAAGAGATTATCAGCTGATCATTTGATATCTAATGAGTCGAAGCCGTTGTACCGCGCCTCGTCGCCAGAGAGTGACCGAAGTAGCTCTTTAGATCGAAAAAGAAGGTATAGTAATCTTTGTTTATGGTACTTTGGTACTGGTGTTGGATGTTTTCTATTGTATTGTTGTAATTGTCTGCATTAGGACCAAGTCGACTATAGCACGGTCGTCTTCACGTGCTGGGAGTACTGACAGTTTAGCACGTAACTCGCTGCTTGCTGCACAGGTGCTGCGTCTCATACCCACGCAGGAGGCACGAGAAAGGTTAAATGTTGATTATGTTGTATTTTGTACATGAGTGCATACAGTGTAGTGTAGTGTAGAAACTATTTAAATGGTATATGCTTGAATTAATCTGGCTTCTTGTAATGTCCTCTTCCTTGTAAATATCATAATCTACAGTAATTTCTCTCATTTCAGAAACTACCTATATGGGCGTCTTGCATCCCATTCTCTTCTTGGAGCTGCTGAACTAGAGCATGTCTTCCCAGACAGAGAAGTCAAAATATTTGTAGGAACATGGAATATGAATGGACAGCCCCCACCCAAGTAACTAACTTTTATCAATTTGCAATATGACCCCATAATGCCTATGTTATTTTTATTAATCTCTTGTTTATTTTTTGATTTAGGGAATTAGCAGATTTTATCTTCCCAAATCAAGTGACGCATGTGCCAGATATATTTGCAATTGGAACGCAGGAATCTTTTTCTGAGCGCACCGAATGGGAGATAACAATTCAGGAAGTATTGGGACCATCTCATCTGTTACTGCATTCTTATTATTTAGGTTAGTAACAATATGTGAACTCATTAGCATATGGTAATGAGTATCTTTTCCGTGTACACTCAATTAGGTATGACTTCTAAACAATGCAAATGAGTTCGTCATTTTACTTATTTTGTTGTTTATTATGAATAGAAGTAGAGGTTTGTGAGTAAATACACTCGACATTGTAAACATTATGTATAATGATAAAGTAACCATAGCAATGTTATTTTATTGATATAATGAGGCAGGAAAGTTTTTACTGTAATCAGTGGAAATATTGTTATTTTAGTTACAAATATTTACTGTCCCATATTTATATAATCAGCTGGTTCTAGTTGGTTCCGAATTTTACAATCGCGATCTTAGAGTATTACGGTTTATTCTTGTGTTTAAACCCAGACAATTAGAACTTCTAAAGGAGTGTAATAATAATCAAATTCACACCTGAATGGCTCTTTTGTGACGTAACTCGCTCTCAGCCTTGATTTTATTGTTATCTATATGCCTATCAATAAGCACACACTATAAATCATATCATTCTTTATCCCTGGCCTTATAAATTTTAATTTTAGTTACGAATTTATTATGTCTAATATTGCTCCTTATTTTGCCTAAACTGACTGGCTGACTGCCTAGATGATCATGTGGTCGCAAGCGCGACTGCCGGGCAAGGGGTCTCGGGTTCGATTCCCGGATCGGGCAAAGTATTACAGGGTTTTAAAAAAAAATCCCAGTAGCAGCACGGAGTCTGGAATTGTGCCTGGTATATGGCAATAGGCTCATCCCCTATTACATGGGACTTATTTACAAGCGCGGATCCAGCATTCAAAAAACGTTGTGGTCACAGCTACTAGAAAATCGGCTAAGTAGGTACGAGTCGGAGCATGAACATGCTCATCAACAATCATGCAAGTCGTTTATGAACTTTAGAATTAGATTATTTTCTTTTTTCTGAGCATAAGGACTTGGGCCTTAGGAAAGGAAACAAACTTAGGAGGAAGTCGGACCCGATTTCTCCAAATCAAATAGTCAGTTTCGATCCAAACCTATTTTAATCAATAAGTTATATCTTTTTACTCTATACTCAGATGCTCATGATATGGAACAAGTTTCACTATGCAGTCAACCCCGAATACGCGAAAAAAAATCAGCTGTTCCATACGTTTGGGCGATGTGGGTAATTGAAGTTTTGTATGAAACAGCTGACTTTTTTCGCGATATTTTCAAGCAAGTACCTAGGGTTTGTCGGATTGGTTTTTGTTACAACTTATATATACATTAGATGCATAGCTGCGAAAGAAGATGTAGGATTTAATTAATTGATAGATACTTAGATATCTACCTATTAGAAAATGTTAAAAAAATCTTCCCAACAAAAAAAAAAACTTTTTCGTACCCCAGCCAGCACACACAAAAAAAACAATATACAATGCATTAAATTACGACTCGAAATCGAAATCGAATGACTGCTCCCGCCTGGGTGAGGCGGAAGGGAGTGTCAGACTCTTACTGACTAAAACCACCCCGTTCCTTCTCCTGCACGTCGAGCCGGAGCCCCGGTTACCCGTTAGGTTCTCCCGCGACTCCGAATCGGCATCGCCCTATTGTGCCCCATCTGTGGTGGTCTGATGGCTCTTTGAGGCGCGCGCGGAACGCGACGCGCCGTACGCTCGGGTCTGTTTCTGGTCGGACGGGGAGCCACCCATGCTCGCCGTCCGCAGGCTCGCGCTTACGGTGGCCGAAGATCGTCCCGCGATCCCCGACGCCCGGTGTGTCCTTCGCGATGGCTGGGTTGCGAGGAGGCAGCGCTTCGCTGCCTCACGCGTCCCGCCTCCTCCTTAGCCAGCATGACTGCTTCGCAAAAGGAGGAGACGGCATCCCAGTCCTCGCTCCGCATCATGGCTTGCACTAGGCCCGGACGCGAGAGGTCTCCATCGCCGATCACTTCCCTGAGGGCACGGCGGTGCTCAGCCCACGCAGGGCATTCCGCAACAGTGTGTTCCACCGTGTCCTCAGGGTGGTCCTCGCAGTGATGACACCCGGCGTTTCCCCCGCCCCATCAGACACAGGTACCTCCCGAAACTTCCATGTCCGGTGAGGACCTGCGTCAGGCGGTAGTGAGGACGCCGTACCCGAGCGTCTCTCAAGCCACTCCCAAAGAGGGACTTACCGCTGCAATGGCAGCGAGCCCAGCCCTCGGTTGCGACAGTCGTTGCTGCCATTCGCCATGAGATCGCGCCGGAGCTCATCCCGCCACGCACTTATCTGGCGCGGCAAATCCGCTAGATGGCATTACGTAGATGTTAGGTCCAGCTTTATTGTGATTGGATATTTTTGACAGAGCATGTCAAAGTGACATTATTGTTTCAAAATTTTTAAGCATCCTCATTAAGTAGCGCCACAGACGCCTCGCTACGCGGCTCGAAGTTTTGGCGGCACGGCAATAAGTTGTCAAAAATGTGACATAAGTAATAACATGTCAGCATATCGTCTATGGCTCTTTGCTGCGTTCCAAATCACGCACGTTACATGATTCATTGTGTTTTTTTAATTTTATTAAGGTTCATTATCATCAGCCTATCGTACTCAATAGACCGTAAAAAGGTGACGTCACAAGTCTATTAAGGTTGTGGGCATGCCCATCGTGCCCACAACGGTGGATCCGCCCTTGCTTATTTATAACATAAATAATGAAAAGTGGGTGTTACATTGCACAGTGGCATTAAGTGTCTGAATATGCACCTCTGCCTACCCCCTTCAGGGATAAAAGACGTTGTATTATATTATTTATGTTTTGCCTAAATCAAATCCCTAAAAGTTGGCACTTGTACTACTTTAGTAATTCGAGTGTCTGGGCGGCACTGATTGCTTACCATTAGGTAATCATCCTATCATATAGCTGCCTTCGGATCCGAGCGTACGGCGCGTCGCGTTCCGCTCGCGTCTCAAAGAGCCATCAGACCACCCAATAGGGCGATGCCGATTCGGAGTCGCGGAGAACCTAACGTAACCAAGGCTCCGGCTCGACGTGCAGGAGAAGGAACGGGGAGGTTTTTAGTCAGTAAGAGTCTGACACTCCCTTCCGCCTCACCCAGGCGGGAGCAGTCATTCGATGATATCCCCCCTTAACAAAAAATACCATCAAAAAACGTTTACTCACAAACATAAAGAAGCATTCGAATGAGATGATCTTCAAAGAGCATACACTACACATGAAACTGATTAAATTTGTAATTCTTTATTCCTTTCATTACAGGCACAATCCACTTAATGATATTTATAAGAAGAGATCTCATTTGGTTTTGTTCTCTTCCTGAAGACGCGAGTTTGTCAGTGAGACCTGGTACCGCCTTTAGGACTAAGGGAGCCGTTGCTATATCCTTCGCACTATTTGGTTCCACGTTTCTATTTGTAACGGCCCATTTGACAGCACATCAGGAGAAGGTTAAAGAAAGAGTGTCGGATATCAAAAGGATTATTAGGTCCATTGATTTGCCAAAGAATTTGCCTTGTCGACATAAAAGTAAAGGTATGTTAAGTATGTTTTTTTGTTTTTTATTTAGTGGCTTTTTTATTGTTTTTTTTTTAATTAGGCTTAAAAGCCTTGGTATTAAGTTAATACAGAGAATTATTCATTCAAAGATAAGAGTTCCTTTTCTATGTAAATAGGTACTTTTATGCAATTTGACTTTGTGCGGTATTATTACCTACGCTAACTTATTTTGGTGTGCGGTTTCATTTTTATTTCGTTTCATTGTTGATTCACAACAACGACCATAAATCACAATTATAGTTTTTATTTTTAAAACTACATTTCTATTTTAAATGTAGTTTATCACTACATAGTATAAAATAAAGTCGCTATCCGCCGTCTGTCTGTCCCTATGTATGCTTAGATCTTTAAAACTACGCAACGGATTTTGATGCGGTTTTTTAATAGATAGAGTGATTCTTAAGGAAGGTTTATACATGCATATTGCACCTGTGCGAAGCCGAGGCGGGTGCCTAATAAATACCTATTTAATTAAAAGAAAATAGTATCGAAGTTATTCATTATGTATGAAGGAATGTAAATATATGAAAACTAGGTAAATGTTATTTACATTGATAAGCTATCAATTTCCTTTTCTCATATCTTTGTTTAAATATACTTGAACACGTATCAAACAATTTTAGCTGTTTCATACTTTGTTGTTTACTGACATAAATAATACAAGATTGTTTTTTAAAAAAAAACGTAGGATTTTCTACTGTGTAGTGTGTGCGTTTACAATCATACAACTTCACAAACACATCACACCCAGACCCGGAACAACAATCTGTGGATCACACTAAAAATTGTTCTGTGCGGGAATCGAACCCGCGACACGTTGCGTGGCAGCCATTGCCTAGCCACCGCGCCAACCGTGCAGTCAAGTCAATATGACTGAATATGAATATCGTGCTTCGTTGAAACAATTGCCGGGACTAGTCTGGCTCACGTTCGATCCCGAAGTGGGACAAAATATTACTGGGGCTTTCGATTTTTCTTTAATTCGCAGTAATTACGCATAGTCTAGAATCATGCTCGGCTCACTTAGGCTCACCCTACATATAATATAGGACTTATAACTGTCAAAAAATCTTTACTTCATTAAGATACCTTCGGAGAGTAAAATGTAATAAAGCAATAAAAAAAATGTTCTTTCAGATGTGACCAATAATTTCGACTATGTATTTTGGTGTGGAGACTTAAACTTCAGATTGGGGGAACCCAGAGCTGCGCTGCTGCGGTGGATCGAACAAACAGAAGTACGTAGTCAATAATCCCCTATATTACTAGCTTCTGCCCGGATTTCGTACGCACAAACCCGTTTTTTCCCGTTCCCATAGGATTTTCGGAAAATAGTTGGATATAAAGTACCTACCGTCCTGGTTCTAAGCTACCTCCCACCAATTTTGAGTCGATTCGAATCGATTCAGCCATTCTTGAGTTATAAATACTATAACTAACATGACTTCCTATGTGTAGATTGAACAATTGAAAATGTCATATAAAGTTGACAATGATAAGCCCATTTTCATTGAGTACTCTTATCACATATACAATATGACAACCATAACTGACAGGACTCTCAACATGTTAAAAATAGTCACTAATTCACAAAACACACATACAAACCCACACGACTGTCTCCCATGGGGGTAGGCAAAGACTATGACTACATACATACCTCTTTAGGTTCCTCAAAACAACAGATTACAATCTAAAGTCTGGAATATTGAAGGTTTTAATTAAAATTTAAAGTACTTTGTAATTACTAAGCTCCATCTTCCACAGTTCCCGTTGCCACATCACCTGCCGCATGGTTTACTTCATGCGGATCAGTTGACTGCGGTCCTGGAAGACGGGGCGGCCTTCCGAGACTTTAGAGAGGCGCCCATCACGTTCCCCCCTACTTACAAGGTAAGATTATTTACTACCTTATCCATTAACAGTTTAATGTGCAGTTTTAAGTTTAATTTTTGTGATGTATGTCAAGGACATTTTTCATGTTCTGATGGAGAGTCCAGAATAAAAGTTTTAGAGTTTGTGATTGCAATCGACATCACAATATTGGCGTGGTGAATAGTATTGATCTTGCTCAATTTCTGATAGGGCAAAACATTTGTACACATTGATGTTTAGATCCTCGATATATGATTATGCTGATTTCATTTTGACGGTACTGGGCGATGTTGTCCTGAGAGAAAAAGTCCTACTGATCAATCCCCTAGCGGTTACCGGTGACGCTCTCCACATACTCCATTATAGACCTTATTTCCGATGTTTAGGGACTACTTTTGTACGAACAAATTTTAGGGATTTTCCGTTCGATAAATATCAAGTGATTAATAATTGAAAATTAAAACTATGTGTGGTAAAGGCAGAGTAAAATACATTATAGTGACCACCTTGACTTTTTCCGTGGCATTTATAAGAGTCGTTTAACGGAAAACCTTTCTAATGTAGACTAGGCAACACTGCTTCCCCATAAACCCTTTTAAGCTACGATATCCCACTTGCCTGCTAAGCATAGAAGTTATATCCCATCTTAGTCATACAGTGAACTGTCATAAGCTGTTAATTTTGATAGTTTATTATGAGTTTTAATGCACGACTTGGCCACTACTTTAAAATAATACATTTCATATAAATATTACAGTACGATCCTGGCAGTCAACAGTTCGACACGTCGAGCAAGCAAAGGGCGCCGGCTTACACAGATAGGATACTGTACAAAGCGAGATCAATGACCACTAATTCTTCGTCTGCGTTTTCTGGTGAGCTTTTACTTCATACATTATAAATCGTCACTAATTATTTTTATGTTGGAATGTCCAAAAATACATATAGGTATTATGATTGTGTACACCTAAATTTTTGCGCAAGTTGTACAAACTTGCGCTAAATTGTCTCTTATTTGCGCAAAAATACTAATAATAATGATTGAACCTTGTTTTGTTATATAATTAGTTTATTATGTTTGATTTGATAAATAATATATAGAAATAGTTGTTTACATTTTCCTTATGTTTCATTCCTAAATTTAAATGTGTATTTAACATAATGCCGTGAATGTAGACTTTCAGGAATGCACCATGTCATCGGATGAAATGATAGGTATACTTTGAATGTGCCACCCTCTGTTTTCTATGTATCACTAATCTCTATCTCCTTCTCTCCCCACTCTCCTTTCTCTTTCTCACTCTCTCTTTCAATTCCATTCTTCTAACTTTGTCTCTTCCTTATTAATAGTAATTATACTATCAAATACTAAATGTAAAACAAATTCTGTTTTATTGAATGCTATACTTTTTTATCTTAATTATTAACACATGTTGGACTCTGCACCAATGTGCAATATTCTGTAAATATAACTATTTAATGTGGAAGTTAAAATCAAATTCTCAAATACCCAAACACAATGACTTTATTAAAACTTTAGACGTTTTCGCCAACGACCCCTGAACTTATCTTAAATATTTACTTAGCGGCAGGAAGCACTTAAACTAATCCCTTACCTATACCATTAGGTGTCACTTATAGGTTGGCGAAAACCAAAATACGTTACGTGTTACCTTAACTTTTATGCTAATTCTATCTTCTATTACTACTTCTATCTATCTTATTATTGTACTTGAAACAACAGCAATGTAAAAACATCCCTCTCTGATATTGACACGGAAGTGGTTGCAGGTCTGCGTCGGATCAGCTCAGTGCCAGTGACGTCGGGCGTCAAGTGCTTGGCATACAATAGCGTGCAATCAGTGTGTACCAGCGATCATAAGCCGGTGTGGGGACTATTCTCCACTATGCTGCGGCCGGGAACTGATGTGTGAGTTTGTTGTATTTACTCAACAATAGGGTAGTTAGTGGTTGCCTAATTTTTATTTCCGTCTGGTAGATTATTTTAATTGATTAGACACGTATTTTTTATTGTTACAGAAACGAATACTTTCTACGATATATTGTTTTGAAATGTCGCGTGACGTCACTTCTATGTACATTTTATACGTAGAAATGACGTTTTAGCCCCCACTCCTAAACTTGGATTCGTTTTATTTAAGTATTGTTTTATTATACGACAAAAAAAAGACGTGTCTAATATTTTTTCATTACCATTTTCATACTCTGTCATCATTCCAATTACAGTTTCCAATGCTTATTTTTTAATGTAAACCTATAACCAAATTTTTCTGTTATTAATACATTATTCAAATGCCAAAAGAGATCATTGTAAATCACATCAAATTCATTGTGAATTTCTGTCTCTTTCTTACAGAATTCTGTGATAAATAATCTGTGACATCACAGTTTTTTGTATCTATTAACTAATTTTTCTTTCTAGTTATCTAAAAAAGAAGGCTATGTGTAATCAAATAATACAGTGTTAGTTTGTAAATATGTATTTTAATGTTTCAAAAAGTTCAAACGATTAAATTTGTGACGGGATAAGCCTAATTGTAATGTGTTTGTGTTTACTATACTATATTGGTTAAAAGTTTTGATTCAAGACTACAACATAAATGTTTCTAGTTCTCATGATAGTTAACTGTTGTTACAGGGTCCCCTTAGCAGCTGGTTTATTCAACCGCGAAGTTTATCTCGAAGGTATCAAGCGTAGAAGAGCTCTGCTCGACCACGCCCCAGGCACGTCCGCGGTATGTAACGTTCAATAACATTGAACCAATCTCCCCAGTCATCAATACGTTCATCACCACTAAAATAACCAATCAAATTATTTTGTATCACATTCTAAATATGAAATACGTAAAATCAGCCAGTTCCTTTACGATTGCCTTTTTTATAAAGTCGCAGTAAAAAAGTATTACAGTAACCAAAGAGGTTTATATTTTGTTGTTGTTGTATTTTATTGTTTTACGATTTTCAAAATGTTTAATTTTTATTATTGTTTATTTTATTTATTACGTCCTAAGTTAGATTAAGTGGACAGGAGTGCAATGTTACAAAAGACGATTTACATTATAATTGTTAGATTTTAAATTATGATTAATTTAGTTATTTTTTGTATGTGCTCATTTTTGAAAACATAAAAGACAAATCTAGTCAGTATAATGAACTTCAACAGTATTCCTTACAATAATGTGAAAAGACAACAGTTATATAATTTAATTTTAAACTGTATTAATATTTCCACGTAGTATTAAATTGTTTAGCGTATTATATTCTAATAATTCTTCGTATAATTATTGTGCTTTATACAAATTAATATACTTTGGGCTAGTAGCTTAGCAATAAATTAAAAATAACATTATTTCGATGTAGTACATAGGGGGTATATTTCAGAAATCCTGTTTAGAAAGATGAGCTTTTATGATTATCGTAATCGTAGGTATGTATCGTGGAGTTTCTAAAACAGTACTTAATTAAAATATTTCCTGCCTTATGTCACTGTGTTATACCGTCGGAGGGAATGTTAAGAACATTTCTATGTTGATAAAACTATGTTAATTAGGTGCTGTGATTACTAATCGTCTAGTCTGATGTCCATTCCAGTTACCGTTGTGGTCTCGACGTACTAGGATTCTATATTTAAGCCGAGATCGATGTGAAACGTTGGTAAAGAAAGCAAAAAGATGCATACATGTACTTTTGTGACCAGATGTATGCACCTTTTCAGTAACTACTAAAAAACTACTCGGTGTGCCGAATTGTGGTATTTATGTGGGCTTATCTTTTTGCTGTAACTCAGAACTGTCACTACAGTGACAGAGATCTGTGGAATGGGTAAAACGTAGGTTGGCTTAACACGTCAAACGCCATGGAGGACAACTAACGGATCACGTTAGTGTAGGATTTGCCATAACAATTTTCTGTCGGCAGCACATTGATCTTTGTCTAAGTATAGAACATTCGTATATCTATGTTATGTAGTTTATCGATATGCAGTGATTGCAGATCTCAATTCTCGGTACTTACGTAAAGGTTGAAATTCGACTTGAAGGAGTTTTCGCACAAATGAGGCGCTATGTTACGTCCAACATTTCGTCCTTCTTTTTGTAAGATAATTGAAGCTTGGATTCATTTATGAAAACATACGTATTTCACATTATTTCAAAAATTTGATAATGTTTATTACTATGTTCGATTGACTTTTGATTTAAAATTATGTCTTGTGATTATACATATAAGGTTTGTTGTTGTAATTAGGACTACTTGAGTCATAGGTCTCTTTGGGTGCCAGTCTATGATACTGCCAAACCTAGTGTGGGATATTTCGTATTATTACAAAAATCTTACCGACCAATAATATTCGTGTTTTTAATGAAAATTAACATAAAATGTCCCGGTCCTGGATCGGTGTGACGAACAAAAAAAATACTTAGTACGTTGTAGCTGATTTGACGTTATTAATGTGGGATTTTAATAATAAATTAAAAAACCAAAGTTGGGTGTTTTAAATAATATTTTTTCATAACTTTTCGACAGTTAGTCTGATAGTATAATGACTGTAGTAGGCCTAGACGTAGAGTTTGTAATGTCAATTGTCTGAATGTCTTCGTAAATTGACATCTAAGTTATGATTAGGCGCCAAAATTTACTTGGCACTTTCGATCGTCGATATTCGTCAAAAACCGACTCTATTAACAGCACTCGAAGTCCATTTTAAACACTTACTGACATGCACGTCAGTGCTATTGAATGAGATTTATTATTAGACCAGATTCATAAATTCATTCTAAGTAAATCAGTCTGTCTTCCATAACTTGTACGTACGTAAATTATTGATAATTTTATTCAGGATCAATTACCTGAAACCTAATCGTCAATATACTTTACAATTTAGGGAATTGTAACTCCTTTTTGTACTGTCACAAACTTAATACTTAACATTGTGTAAAATATGTTAATTAACTTCTATGAAGGATTACAATCTGCAATGGTAATATAAGTATTCTGTTTGTGACTGTACACTTCGTATATTATGTACTTATCATTCGAATGTAACCTTTTTTAATCCATCATTATTAAAAATAATTTATTTAAAATTAGAACCTGCTTTTGCATTATATAACACTTATTTTAGCTTCTATGCTGTAGAGAATTAAATTTAAAATCGCACAAACGTTCAAAATTTATATTTTACTTCAGTTTCTTCACTGTTTCATTTAATAATAATAACGCAATGTAGTTTATAGTACGAGGCTGGTTAATACTTGATGTTCGATAAATAAAAGTACAATGTTTTATAAGGATTTTATATCTACATACAAATAAATGTTTTTCGTACACTTTTGGTTACTTATATCAGTGTGGGTACGCGATATTGTGGTAAAATCTCATATCTTTAAAGGAGTTGTATACGAGCGTGCCTACTACATATAACTCGGTATATCAAGGGTGTATGGGAAATAATACAAAGATGGTATATTGCTAACAATTTTATTTTGTACAAGGACTTTTTTCTGTAATAGTACATAGCTGAACAATATAGTTATAATGTTGGTTTTTACTTTGGATAGGTCCTGAGAGGGGAGATGACTGCGACAGAATATTTACAAGAAAGAATTCTCAAAAGTACTGTAATATGCAACATCTTAAATATAAGGTGAACAGACTGGCAGTTTACGCCATTTATACAGATAACAAATATATTTTTTTATTTCATAAAGTCTCGCTTATGATTGCTGAATGGTTTAACAAAGTTAAGTACGATATGTGCCTATTCGCTAAAGCAATAGTAGATTTTTGTCGCAGTTATCTAGTCTTTAGTATTAAATGCATTAATTATGATTTTCATTCAATGAAATAATCGTATTGTCATTATGTGAAATATATTGCTAGTCCATATTTTATAGATATACTTACTTAAGTTATAACTTACTTAAGACAAACAAATGTTATGCTAAAAATATAGTTAACTTTCCTCGCTAATTTTTGTTTAATTTACACCAACATACACATTAACAAAAGAAGTAGTATTAATTAATGGACTTTATAAGCATAATGTCTTTAATTAATTCTATTTGACTCCCTACAACAACTCCTAGACTAGTCAATATTTGTTTTTTCTCACTATGCATCGCATAGTAAAGCAACAAGCCAAACAGACCTTTCAATAAATAAATAAAAACAACGAACACAGGGTACCACAACAATTCACAGATTAAAAAAACTCAAAACAAATGCCTAACTGATAGTCATCACTAATGACGACATGGAGCGTTCCAATTTTGATTTTTTTTTTTTAATCGGAACCATTGAGGATGTAACTTCTCCTTTATCATACTCAAATAACTGACACTGAATATTATATTTCATGTGACACCCTTCGAGAACTAAAAATGTAGTACTTATTATTATCATGTCTGTACTTATTCATTTTTCCTTTTACTGTTCGCCTGTACGTTGTTATAATGCCACTCGACGCACGCAGATCCCTTGACTCCGTTAATTTCGACACTGCACCATCTCTCGTAAAATTTGGCGTCCCTTGACTTGCCAATATAGAATGTTTCTTCATCGTCAACTTGGACTCGAACTGCGTATGTTTTACCGCCTGTAAATATAAAAATAGAAGAGTCGTTTCAAATAAATGATTTCAGAACTTGAACTAAACTTTTTTTACAAGAATCAACAGTAAAGCTACTTATTTATTCTAAGATTCGTATGGAACTGAATGCAAAATTAAAAAACTTAGTTGCTCTGCATATCATTGTGATATTACAGTAATAACTGTGCAACTGGACGTAGAGGAGTCTTATAGTTCAATAGCACGACTGCACGGTTGGTGCGGTGGCAGGGCAACCGGCTGCCGTGCAACGTGTTGCGGGTTCGATTCCCGCACGGGACAACACATTGATCCACAAATTGTTGTTTCGGATCTGGATGATTGTCATTGCGTATGTGAGCTTGTACGTTTGTAAACGCACCCACGACACAGGAGAAAATCCTAGTGTGGGGCAAAGTTAAAAAAAAAAGTAGCGGCCAATCGTGGCGTGTTGATACCCCTTAACAAAAGTACCTTGAATTAGTTATAATATAAAACCATTTAATAACATGTTTTTAACCCATCGAGCGCCACGCCAGCCGGTGCGTGATGCTAGTGGAGATTTGAAGTTCACCACTTTAAACTATCAGTTAAAGTGTTAAATTAAATGCAATGTAATTGTAAACGTACCAGCTTCGAAACAGAACCCATAGTCCTTGGGCAAGATCTGATGTTCTCCATGTTGGTACAACTGGAAGTCGCAGAACTCTACTGGGAGCACTGATTGATCCGACTGACGGCAGAGGTAGCCGATTGTTAGACTGAAAAAAATAAGATATTTATTCTAGCATAATAATAGCAGACCATGTCATTAGGAGTCGTTGCTAAATACTGCCAAATAGTCAGGCTCGGATTCTATAACGATGTTAAATAACAGGTTGGGTTGACGATTTTCGAAATTATGAATAGAGCATAATCAGAAAATATGTCCAATGTAAATCAAATACACACCTACATAAAATTCTTAAAAGTAGCGAAAACTAGGGCGATTAATTTAAAATCCTTCAAATCCCAGTGAAAAATTGGGTCTATTTTGGGGAATAAAATGTATGATGATATGTTGTCTGATCTATGGAACGTATTCCATTTCTTCTTTGTCGTATGTAACATCTACTTACTGTGATAAAACAGCAGGCTGACACACTGAACCAATGGCCATACAGTCTCCATTTTCCAGGAAAATGAAATGATACACGTAGCGGTGGAACGTTTTCCAGTCTCTGAAGGGTCCTGAAATAAAAACATCATTAAGTTAGACACGTAATGTAAGTACTTGCTTATGTATTACGGGGATGCTCGACTAGTTTCGAGATCGACCGGAGCTCTCAGCAAGCTTTATATAAAAAAGGCGTAACTTTACACTATTATTTTCTCCTATGTCGTGGGAGCATTTACAAACATAGAAAAGAAAGTTGACTGCAATGACCCATTTTTTTTTTATTGCCTAAGCCGGTAACGAACAGACGGATCATCTAATGGTAAGCAATCGGCGTCGCCCATGAACACCTGGAACACCAGAGGCATAACAAGTGCGTTACCGGCCTTTTGGGGAATAGGAGTTTGAGGATCGTTGGGAATTCAGAGATAGGAGAAATTGGGGAAGGGGAGTGGATAATTGGGCCGTCGGTAACCTCACTCACACGACGAAACACAACGCAAGTGTTGCTTCACATCGGTTTTCTGTGAGGCCGTGGTATCACTCCGGTCGAGCCGACCCATTCGTGCCGAAGCATGGCTCTCTTACACTTAAGACCTATGTTGTTAAAGGTACCCTAATAGTGTATTTTGTGATACTTACCAAAACTATGATCCCTGACGCATGGTATATGGTGTGGTCTTTACCATCAATTGTGACGGTTCCCTCTAGAACTCCCATTTGCTCGTAATGTGTTTGGTGGAACCTGAAACATTAAGTACTTTTAATTAAAGATTTTAATTAAAGAATTACCTGAATATAAAACTCCTTGATACCTAGATTAGTGTAGGTTAAGTATACAATATTAAATCTTAGATTAGAAACCTATAATACACATATATCATTCATGAGGAAATGCGGATTCACTAATTTAAATTCACTTTTCCTCACTCTGGTATTTCCGATTACTTAGTACCTATAAGTAAGTTTATTCATTTAATCAGTAACAATGTTTGGGTAAAAGTAAATACTAATTAATTAATTTGATAACAGCTTTGCAGGTACAGTCATCAAGAAAGATAAACTAGATAAAGTTAAATATTTTTATTTATAATTTTAGATTAATGTTTTTAACATATTACATCACTTTAATTCTTCATTAATCACCAGAATTAAGGTGGTATTAACAGTTTAAATAGCGATCAGGAGTGCTCTATGCTACTGGCAAAAAATTATCTTGGGTCCAATTTCCGGATTGGATAAATAATTATCAGGACATTTAATTTTCTAAATTCTGATACTAATAGGAAAAATAATTAGGTAATGTCTTAAGAGCCATTGACTCTTATAGACTCTTTGCTAAGATATAAGTAACACGCCTTGAAAAGTGATTTACTATTTAATGAATAAAAGGTGTGACATATTCTTATGTAACACATAAGAAAAAACATTCAGTAGTAAGTATTTTACTTACTTTTTAAGTAATTTGAAGTAGCCTCTCGACCATTTTTCTTTGGCTAAATCTCGAGCCATTGATTTTGGCGACATCTGTGTGTCGTAGTTGAAATGAGAAAATACTGCACTCCATGTCAACTCCAATTCTACTTTCACTGTCTTCTCTGTGTCGTTTCTGACTCTGTAATAAAATGAAAAAATCTTGTAAATCTGGTTTTGTTCCCATCTAATAACGTAGTCTCTAACTATTGGAAATAATATCTATAATGGAGTGGATGAGACAGGGCACTGGTGTCCTCTCGGTCATTTAGAAATAAGGTACCTAATTAAAAAAAAAAAAAAACAATGCTTGCTTCAACAAGCAATAAGTTGGTATATAAGTAAGGATATTTATGAAATGCATTTTCCTTCCCTTATTCTGCATAAAAATTTAATATTAATGTTTGTTAGTCTCGTTGAAACTCAAGAACGGCTGAACTGATTTTGATAATTTGACCGTGACTTTTTGGATATTTGGATATAATAGGTAGTTAAAAACAATTTTCTACGCTTATGCGAAGCCGCGGTCACAGATAGTTACAAAAAATAATAATATTCAGTAACAGATAAATAATTCTTATTAACGTGGAAAAAAAAGTTTAATGTCATTCCAAATTCGAATTTTTCCTCAACACCAGTCATAACGGATCTTCGCTAATCGAAATCTTGATAGGAATAAACTTTTACAGCTGTGTACTATCAATATCTATCAATGTACTTAATGCAGGATTAATGACTCATATAAAAAGGGCGAGGCCACAACACTGTAGCGACTTTACGACAAAAAATCGCATCACACAACGCATTGTAAAAATCAGTCATATTGAAGTTATGTGTCTTTATCGTTTTGTTATATTTTGTCCTGTTTTATGAGACATTTACGGTAAGTCATCCTCATCATCAAGTAGGTAAGTCCTGGAGCTACGGACAACCTAACGGGTTACCGGGGCTCCAGGTTAAGGCAGGAGTAGGAATGGGGTGATTTTTAGTCAGTAAGAGTCTGAAACTCTTCTACATCTCATCTAAGGCGGGATAAGTCATTGGATGATCCCCCCCCCCCGCCCCCTCAAAAAAAAATGCTATATTGTATTGTTGTAACTAGGTGCCTACATCGCGTCGTGTCGTCGAAACATAATAGTGCTGTGGCCTCACCCTAAGATTAAGATAGCCGAGTAGATATCGTACTCACTTCATATCGCCGTTGTAAGTTAGTTTCCATGTGCGCATAGGAATAAAATTGGCAATTTCTAATCCCTTTACCCTGTAGTAACCCTCTTCAATTGTCACTTGTTCTTGGTATGTGTCTGGTAACTCAGGGGATAAGAGGAGGTCTTCTCCTTTGACCTAAAAAGAAATGAAATGTAAATAACAGGTACTTATCATGATTAATGTAAATATTTACAAATAATAAGTATAATCCACATCATTAACACATTCGACGGCGGCGTGTGACCGTCGCTAGCGGAGGAATAAGCCTTTAGCAGTTTTTGGCGGAGATTAAAGGCATAACAACCCTTGAGGTCCACTATTGGGCTTTGGAGGGAAAGACTAAAGAGAGTGGGATTCTTTTCTCACCAACCATTAGCCACCACCATTGACTCCAATATGTGACACTGCGTTTTTATGTAGGTAAAAAGTCGGCAAACGAGCCAACGCATCTCTTGATTTTTTATGGGATAAGCCGGTATACTGACAGACGGATCACCTGATGGTAAGCGATCGGCTAAGGAATTTGAAGATTGCTGGGGATTCAGAGATTGGGGAAATTGGGGAGGGTGGTCGTTAATTTGGCCTCCAGTAACCTCAATCACACGACGAAATACAACGCAAGCGTTGTTTCACGTTGGTTTTCTGTGAGGCCGTGGTATCACTCCGGTCATGGCTCTCCACAATTAAGACTCCACACATGATCGACCAATCAACACCGTCTATGGACACTCGCAAAATCAGAGGAGTTCCAAGTGCACTGTTAGCCTTTTGTGGATTAAGAATGGAGTGGGAGAATTAGGCCTCCTGATCTAGGTTCGACTGTGTTACGCCACTTACAGCATATGACAAATCCTTAATACTTTAGGTACCTGCATAATACCAACCTTTAAGAACAGGAAAGCATCAACAACATGTTTCGGCCTCCTCGCGATTCCACAAATAACAGCATCACCGTCCTTGTTGCAGCCATTCAGATACACCGCATCGATGCCCTAAAAAAACATTACTTTAGCAACGATAACATCGGATACCTTTTCCCACAGAATTAAAAAAATATCTATCTTTTTCAATGAAGGGCGGTCACTTTGTTACTTAACAATGGATGAGGCAATCATTATCATCATTATGACCATCAACAGCCTTTAAGTGGCCACTGCTGACAAAAGGCCTCTTCTCGCACGGAGAAGGTTTGAGCATTAATCACCACGCTTGTTCAATGTGGGTTGGCGATTTCAAACTTATAATTAGTACCTAATTGTAAGCTCACTGCCCTAGGTTTCCTCATGACGTTTTCCTTCACCATAACATCACGACTTTTATCCCCGAAGGGGTAAGCAGAGGTGTACATTACGGCACTTAATCCGTAATCAGTGGTGTCTAGATAATCTTAGAAAAAAAACCTATAACTCGGAAAAAAATACATTGGTCCTTGCCGTTAGTAGCTTTCGAACACGCACTCTCATGCTTGAGAAGCGGGTGTCTTAAACCTCCAGCCCACCACGAAATTATCATCGACACAATCAATGGCCTAAAAAAAATATCCACCTACCTATATAAAATAGGTACCTACAATAAAAATTGGGAAGTAATGCTCATAATTGTGCAATGTCAACATAGATTACTAAATAAGTAAGTATGATAATATAATATAATATGTATAGAGGATTACCTGTGCATGATCGCCTAGATAATACTTATTTTCCAACACTTCATCTTGCTTGTGTACATGTTGAACACCATCGCTACTTTTGCCAGTTTCCACGGCTAATATACGTCTTATGTGGTTTACCAACTACAAGAAATAAAAACCGTAATTATTGTTATTAAAGTTTCAACTCTTTGCCAGGTCGCTTAGGTCGTAATATGATGAACAAAATCTGTAGAGTTGACAGTATGGTTTATATGTAGTCAACAGAATATATAATTACAAAGGCTAGCAGAAGACATTGACCTTTGCTTAATTTATTAACCTTATCAGGTATATTGCAGCACTAAAATACTCAGATTAAGGTCTGATAAAGCCTTAGATCAATAAATCAATGATTGGACAAATTGGACTATAACACTATAATAAATGGAAAGCTTTTTATAAGCCAATACATACCTGTCTAAAGGATAAAATTAAGTACATAAAAATATATTTTATCCAAAAGAACTTGTTCCTTTGCTGGTAAACACCGAATATCGCCGGCTTATACGGTTTATTCAGTATCCTAAAAAATAACACCAACGCCGCAGGAATAAATAAAGGTAAGATCAGATCCCAAAACATTTTATCGAATTAAACTTTTAATTAATTAAGAATAAACCGTTCTTGATAACTATTAAAGTATAAATGATTAATTTTATTTAATCAAAATTCTGTCTGCTTAGCTATCTAATCAGTTTGGTGATAATTATACGAGTCACCTACTAAATATAGGATTTTAAAAGTAACGCTATAGGTACACACACACACACATCTTTCTAGAAATGAAGATTATATTGAATCTTTAAGAGATTAGGTTTAAACTTTTTATAGCAGTGATGGGACCGGATAATATACAATTCGTGTCGTTTTCTGCCCGCGAAAAAATATACCACCACTTAAAAGTGGATAGCTCGCGATCTTACAGGCCACGGAATTTTATCAGACTCCTTTGAACCTCTTAAACTTGGGGCGGTTGTTAAATTTGTCCATTCTTTATGAGCGGATGAATGAAGCTTTTTTAAAAAAAAATATTTTTTTTTAATATATGTTTTCAAACTTGAACAAAATAGTAAAAAAAGACAGAACAACTGCATAATGAGTACGTTCGATATAAGAGAATCGGTTAAACTGCTTACGATTAAAACGTTCGAGTAATGTTGTGATCATAAAAATTGAGCTAATGATATCAGTGCACAAAAACAAACTTGACACATCACTAGAAACAGACCTCATTCGATTATAACTCTAATTTATATTAAAAAGAAAATTATATTGGTAATTTATATTAAAAACCCAAAAAATATAAAGTTAAATATTTATTCCAACCTTATAATAATAAAACTAAACAGCTTTAAAATAACATAGACATCCAGATTTCTTAGCGACCAGTGATATAAAAAAAACAAAAAAATTGTTAACCTCTCGGTATAATTTCACACAGTAAAATGTACTATTAAATTTTAGTATTATTAGGACAATTTGGAATACAATGTAAAAGTTTTTTTAAAGGAAATATTAATAATATCTATTTATTCTGCGGTTGCTAGGAGATGTTTGTGTACACATTCTTCTTTGTTGATAAGATGTGTCGTTTTGTTCACAAGTTGCATCAACGTGTTTAGGTTGTTCGACCATTCGTTGAGACGATCCGACGCGTCCATGTTCAAACTGTAAATAAAAAATTGTGTTTAAGGTTTCTGATGATCTATAAAGTGTATTTAAGTCCATTACATTTAACTAAAAGTAAGTTAGAGATTGATTTATGTCCCGTATTCAAATAAACAATTTGTTCCTTACGGAAATGGATCCCACTATAGATTGCGCAGTAGCCAAATACCCGGCCACTAGCAAATTTTTAAATACCTTTCAGGGGATACTAAACTATCTTATATAGACGACAAGGTTCCATTTGCAATGTAAAACAATTAAAATAGTACAAAAACTGTACCTGAAATGCACTACGCCTGCGGGACGGTCGATCTTGGCGCGAACCACACCACTGACGACCAATTGACTGAGGGCCTCCTCTGTTTCCGTCTCACTCAGTCCCAGTAACTCACTCATACGCTTCAAAGTAATGCGAGTGTAATACATCGACATTATACGAATATTCTGTAACAAATAAATATCAAATGTTGAAATGGTGTGTATAATAAAAATAAGTAAACAACGCTAGTTACAGTCCAAAATATAAAGTTACTTTTGGGATGAAACTGTAACGAGGACACTCAACTAGTTTCCGCTCACGTTAGGAGCCTATAAATCATTAACATCACGCTTGACAACCGACGCACTGCGCGTCGAGCATCAACAAATCTAGTTCGATATTCAAGGTTCATCAACACACTGCATGATATCAATATAGTATTCAAATGAAGTGACAAATACTTACATGTTCAACAACCCTATTCTTAAGGTCATTCCAGCGTTCCTGGCCCTTCTCATCGGAGGAGTCGAAGTATGGTGTACCTCGCAACATCTTCTCATATGTAGAACATAAGGTGTTCCATCTGATGATCTCTGGGTTGATGAACAAGCCCAGTAATTGTCTGCAAAAGAGAAAGTAAATGTAATCCTTGCCTTCTTGCCTACTACTTTAAAGAATATTAGAAGACTAGATTGTATCTGTAAAGGTAATTTTAAAATGTAAACACGTCACTACCTTCAATTTGTCAAATATTTCTAAGAAATCTTCGATTATAGACTCATTGGGAGCATGTCGAACTGTCTGACACTGATAGACAAGGCATAGCTCGGAAAATGGTTTTGAATAAACACATGCTTATTTCTTATGCACATAAGCTACATACCACTAGTATGGTATGTATGTAGAATTACCCACAATTGGGTAGTTTCCTAAATTTTATTTTAATGTCCGTCTGGTCGTCTTTTCTCACAAAATTAAATGCTTTCGACGATATATTGATTTGAAATATCGTGTGACGTCACAGTGTATCGTATCGTGTAACTACCTCCGACTCCTAAACTTAACTCAATTTTATTTAAGTATTATAACTTTATACGATAAAATAAAAAAATACGTGTCTAATATTTTTTCATTATTTAACTGACGGATTAATTAGATTTTTAATTTTCTTACCCTGGAAACTACCTTATTGGGACTGCCCAATTGGCAACTATGCCAGGGTATAAAAATAAAAAATAAACATAATATAGTCAGTCAGATTGATAATGAAAGAATATTAGACACGTATTTTTTTATATTCTCGTATAAAAGTACAATACTTAGATAAAATGGAATTAAGTTTAGGAGTGGGGGGTTGTTACTTCACAAAGTGCACCATGTTGTAACATCAGACAATATTTCAAATTAATACATCGTCGAAAGTATTTAATTTTGCAAGGAAAGAAAAACACGTGGCCAATATTTTAAATCTAGCAGACAAACATTAATTGTAACATTAAAATTCAGGAAACTAGCATATTCAACAATCATAATGGAATTAAATGGAAACCTACTTGTACTCTGGCAGTTTATCCAAATCCTTGTCTTCATTGACTCTGTGCGTTAGATCAGCCTGTTCATTGTCATAAGGAGCCAGGATCAGGAACACAACACTTCCAATAAGAGCGTCGGAGCCAGCCAACTGGCCTAGTGCTCTGAAATGACGGCATACTGACAAATACTGGCCGTTGTGCTGATCTACAGCTATCATCAGCCGGTAGAACTTCTCTTTCAATTCCTGAAAATAATTAATTTGATAATAGTAAGAGAAATACAGATTTTTCATAATACACAAAACAAAAATTCTTTTCTCTCATTGCCATACTTCTAATAAGGCCTGAGGGTCATATAATTTAGATATAGACACATAATTCAATCAATAATAGAGAATGTATGTTAAATTATTTAGATGTGTTTATAATTTATTACATACCTGAGTATCATCCTCCTCAAAGAACTTAGTGTTGATCTTCTTGGAAATGATTTGTGTGCGGATATAGTCTTTGATGTTAAGGCATAGTCTCATTTGTTCCAGGATAAGCTCAACCTTCTCTCTCTTATCCATGGAACCGTAAGTCTCAACCTGGAGTTCTTGGATGATCTTAGCAGCTTCAGCCGCATTTCCTTCTTCCTCTCTAATCTTTGCCAAGATATGTGTAAGCCTAGCTCTCTCAACTTCCACGTAAATCTTGCCTTCAGTTATTGATCTCAATGTTTCAATAAGTTTTATTTTAGTTTCTTTATCAGGTGTCTTGTCTACATAAGTGCAACATTCTTGTACCATTTTCACTACTGCTTGCTTCAATTGGGACCTGGAAATTAGATGTTAGTGGTTAGTGTTTTATCTAGATCATAGTTCATCTATATCAATAAAAATATTATGATATTTTTGCATAAAATCTATCTAATGACATAGTCCAGTGATACACTATAAACGTCCTTCACGCAATGGGTTTTTGTAATCTTTGTACTTGAAAGGGGGTTTGAGAGTTATTGTTTGAATTGCTTTAGTTTATCAGATAGGACTGCTACCAGTTTCAATTAATGTGTAATCCTTAAATCACTTAAATAGTTAATAAATAAAAACAAATTTATATTTAGTTAGCTTATTCTTACCTTCTTTTGGACAAAAGAACTATTTGGTCATTAAGTGCAGACCAGTTTTTGGCTTCGTAACATATCTGCACTATTGCCACCAGGATCCTGGCAGTTGAAGCCATGTCAGCACCCTATACAAAAAAGTTCATTAGAAGGACATTAAGGACATCCTAAAGACAAGAAATGGCCTGAAGGTGAATAAATGTAAGTCATTTGCTTTAAATAAAAATATGCTTATGTAGCATTTAGCATATAATGAATTAGGTCAGCATGTTTGCTAATATTATTGAATGGATTTCATCAATTTTACCAAGAGTTAAAGCAGCTCTATAAACATTCCACTTTAAATTTAACAATAGATAAACAGTAATTCTTTTTGATTATAAGCAAGTTGGTGAATTTCCTTATGAAAACATAATTAGTGTTGTTTTCTAATGAGAAATAGAAATTCAGAAAGGCTAAAAATTTGATCTTACAGTTCTTGTTTGTTTTTCTAAGGCCAAAAGTTGGTCGATAGCTTCTTGAATTTTGCCTTTTGATGCCCATGACTTCCACAGTGGTATCTTCTCATCACAGATGGCACTGTAATCGACCTGAAATAGAAGAATAGTGTTTTACAATTGGTATAAGTTGTAACCACACACCAACTATACATTTGTAGTATATTTTTTAACGTATAAACGATAGTATTTTAGAGTTAGAAGATTAATTGACAATTCTGTAGTGGTTAGAGATAAACAGTTGGTTTTGCTTTACAAGTATTCATGATGGAATCTCACTGTCCAGGTGAAATTTATTAATGCATGATAATGAATTTATATCGAATAATTTGGTACTTACTTCCATTTTAACAATTTTGCCGCTGGCATCAAGACTAGTGATATCGCCGTTCGTCGACATTTTTAACAAACTGCAAAAAATATACAATCGTGAATATAAAGATAAACTTTACAAATAAATATATGTAGTAGAAATACTAATAAGTATGTTACATTAATGGGTTGGACAACTCACTGTAAATAAAATTAATCAGTAAACAATGAAAAGCTTTCCAAAATGCTCGGTAATGCAAACTCACGATTATGACAAGACAAAGATTGAATGACAGAATGAATGAAACCAGTTTACCACAGACAACCAGAATAACTTGTTGACACTTTCATTTTTTTCACTTTTATTCCTTTGCAAGACCTAGTATATGGCCTTTTAACTAACAAGCTAATAAGAATTAGTTATTCGCCTCTTTAAGTGCATTTAGTTTTCCTCGTAAAAATAGTAAATATTACTTTTAGTAATAAAACCGTTTAAAAATGGGGTATGTTACTTAATGATGAATTATGGTTACCAACCCATCTCACTAGGTGGCGTTAATGTTCTTTAAAAACTCATATCATAAGTAATAATTCCTTTATCATGTCAGTGCCTTATATTTAATGCGTAAGTAAACTATTAACGTTGTTGGGTAGCTAATAAACCAAGAATTTTTTTCTAATTGTTTGTACCTACCCTTAGTGTAATATGTAAATTTTAAAATAAGTCCAGTTTCTTATTGACCAAATTAGTGACACAAAACAAATTAAAACGAAAGATATGTAATTATGTTTATTGTTGTATTGACAAATGATATTAATAAATAAATTTAGTACTTTTTTATTTATTGATGTTGGATATAATATTGGATATTTACGGTGCAACACACATTGTACTTATATTTAAAAGTAAAATAATAAACATTAGCTACTGAATTTTAGGTTTTACTAAATATTGCCTGCGACTTCGTCCATGTAGAATATGAATTTATTAACTTTTTTGTTTCGATTTTTCAAAATAAAGGAATCCTATGTTGATCCTTAGGACATCACCTAACTGCCAATAAAAGTATCTGTACCTATACATATAAAAAATTACATGAATTGTTATGTGTGTGTTACATACAAATAACTTATCATTACATGGTTACAAAAATTAAATAGGTATGATTAAAATTAGTGCAAATAAAGGGCTACACCCTACGTGACTAGACAAGGAAATCGACATAGAATTCATGTTTCAAGGTGCCAAAAACTTTTACAAACCAACTTTCACGGGATCAGTCAATAATACGATTTGGAGCGATATTTTACAAGCTATTTTCCACAGTATACTTATTCTAGTACATATTAATTTAAGATATCATTATTTAAATGATAAAACGGATCCATAGTTTTTATTTTTCGTTTTAAGTGTGGGAGAGTCATGCTTCGGCAAGTGTGGGAGAGCTATGCTTCGGCACGAATCGGCCGGCTCGACCCGCGTGATACCACGGCCTCACAGAAAACCGACGTGAAGCGACGCACGACGAAAATTTTAAATACACCTAACATTATAAATTTGTATCAAAAATATATTTAAGAACTAAGAATAATTAATGATATATCAGCAGTTTCTTGTCATCCATTACCCAATCATCACAACTGAAGTTTTATGTCAGTTCTACATCAGATTCTGCTTCACCCATTATAATATCGTTATCAGCATCGCTTTCTTCTGAAGAGTCGCACACGTTTTTCTCTAATCGCTCTGTTAGGGCGTCAATTGCTGCCTCGTGGCCTATGTATTTCCGCTCTTCTCTTATTGCTTGATCACATGCGTTTTTCCATTCTTGTACATCAATTGAATTTATTTTGGTCTTACAAATTTTGTTATGTTTTTAGCTTGCTTACACCATTCGGTTCTCTTCCCCATGTTTTGTTTTATTGTTAACCACGTTTTTTGAATGGGTTTAATTCTGGGTGATATGGTGGAAGACGAAGTACACTGTGATTATTCTTTCGAAGTATACAATCAATTTTAAATTCTTTGAAGATTTTCTTATGTTCCAATATTAACTGATAAAGTTGCGGTTTTAACATAGAAGACGAATGTATAATATTTCGAAAATCAAGCCAATCAAGCATTTCTTGTTTACAGGCGTGAGGTCCAGGGGCTGGATTTTCTAATATATTTTGATAAAAAATGTTATCAATTACTACAACACTTTTTGGTTTCAAATTAGGCATCAAGTCATTTTCAATCCATTTTATAAAATCTTCAGTGTTCAAATAATGCGGTCGAGCTTCAACTTGATCATTAGTTTCAAACATAGCTAGTGCATTTGGGACGAAGCCATCTGATCCACCAGCATGAACAATAATCAAACCATTTCCCCTGGTAGATGGATTTGATGAAATTGAAGTATCTATGTATACCTCACTAGCGAAAACAATCGGGCGTCCTTGTGATCTGTATTCGGAAATTTTAGTCAAAAAATTTATTCGTTGAAAACGTATTTTATGTTTTTCCACCAGTATTCCAGAATTGCCTTCTGTCATTTTCCAGTGAAATCCCATTCGTGCTACTTCTCGACGTAATGTAGTACATGAGCCAGGATAATTAAGTTTTTCCTTCACAGCTTCGTGCAGAGATGTCATAATGGGAAAATCTTTATCTTCGTTGTAATATTCATAATAATAATCGATGATTATCTGTCGAATTGCAGCCCTATCGAAATCATTGATGTTAAATTTGTTTTTCCTCGAAACTAACAACTGTTTTGAAGAAGTAAAAGGCTTTCCTTCTTCCAGAGTTCGTTTACTTTCGAAAATTACCTTTTTCACAGAAGAAAATGGAACACCTGTCGCATCTGATGTTAATTTAGCTGCTGATGTTTGATAGATACTCGACATATCTTGATTTTTTAGGCCATTGAAATATTTATGTAAATTAAACAGTATTTCTTTGGAATGCCTATCTAATATTTTTCTCTTTTTCGGAATTTCAATCTCAGCTGGATCCATAAAGTTTAAGGGCACACTCCTGTCACTTATAGCAGGAGTTTCATTTTGAATTTGTTCATCTTCATTAATCTTATTCAAGATACGAATAAGCAAAGCCGTTTCTTCTTTAAGATAAGCTTTGCCCTCTGTTACGAAACTTAAAGTATCGATTAATTTCATTTTATTTGCCTTGTCTGGTATTTTATCTATGAAAGTTATACATTCTTGTACCATTTTCAGAATAGCCTCTTTTGGTTGAGACCTATAAAATAAATGAAAAAACATAAAATAAATGAAATAAGTAAAATCGAATGATTATGATTAATGTAAATTGTAATTAAAAAGCATAAACACTACCTTTTTCTTGCTGAAATAAGAATTTGTTCGTTAAGAGCCAACCAATTTTTAGCTTCAAAATATATCTGTACTATGGCTACCAAGATTCGTGCCGTAACATCTGGTACAGATGTGTGCTGTAAAATAAATTAGGTACGGTGTAATTAAATAGGTATACAATTATTCTTAGGTCAAATAAAAACTTTAGTAAAAAAGTTGGTATAAAGAGACATATATATTATGTGAATCTTACGGCTCTGGTTTGTTTCTCTAAAAATAATAGTTGGTTTATTGCTTCTTGAACTTTGCCTTTTGCAGCCCATGACTTCCACAGCGGTATTTTTTCGTAACAAGTGCTTCTAAAGTCAATCTGAAATTAATAATAAGAATACGTACACACTGTCAATATTTATATGGTCAATATTAGAAAAAAAATCGTGCGCTACCAACGGCAATGCCTGGCGATGGTCAATTATTTTGACCTTGCGACCAATATAATACAATCGTGTGTTCCAGTTGAAAGTTCAACTTTCTTGTTATTACGTTTATAACTTGATTGTATTATACCAATCCATACAGGTGTGATATAGGTAAGTAGGTACTCTTTAAAGCGTATGGTAACTATGTTCATTGAGACCTTCAGAAAATTGAATAGAAGGCCCCTTTAAAAAAGTTTACTATTGTAAACTGCCCTATTTTCACTCTTTTTATTGTTATTCCATTGATGCGAATGGACCCTTTAACTTAACGTTAGGGGTGGCAGTACTCGAGGTTTTTAGATATTATTTTGTACGGTAAAGTATCTTTAAAGTAAGTGTAGTTGTAGGCCATTTAAATCGGCATTCCGTTTTGGCTGAACGAACTTCGTCTATTGGTTCAATTACTATAAAATAATTAATAGGTACCTCTGATGCAATTGGGTCAATTGGAATCGAAAAGTAAGTTAACATACCTCAATTCTATTTGGTGGTCTCTCCGAATCGGTGTCAGTATCAGTGCACATCGCCATGCTAGCAATCTAAAACAATAAACATACCTACAGACACACCCGTGGGGGACTTACAGGATAAGCAAAGTGAATATTCAGTGTTTGTTTTTTTTGACTAATCGGCCGTCATCATCATCACAATGAGATTTGACAACTAAAGAAGGTAGTTAAGAATAATATACAATAATCACCACAGTAAATTACAATAATCACCAAGAACCTATTAAGAAAGTTTCATTTACCTATACAAAATTACACTTTACAAACATTTTACATTTTCGTAATCATATAATTCATTACTGGCTAAGTATAGGTTGCTGGTTAAGCAAAAAGTTTTTTTTTAAATGTTTAGGTATTTTTATCAAATTATTGAAAAAGCGCCTCTGATAAAAGTAATAGCAAACTTACGGAAAAGTTGTCTATACCTAAAATAATTTTGAACAAATCATTTACATAACATTTTAAATAATTAAATAAATGAACGTGCCAAATTATTACTAAGTATAATAATAATAACGTAAACAAAATGTATTGAACTTAACTTACCGTAAAATAGACTACTTCTGCTCTAACTTTCGGTGTTTCTTGTACCTTCCGTTTGTTGTAGATGTTATCGATTTTTCTGCAATATTATTGTTGATGTTTATTGTTATGTATACGTATTACGTACTAAAATCTGCAATCATTCAGTGCGACATAGATCACTCTTACTTATTTTTTAATAGTATTCAACGCTTTGGGCGGGATTAGAAAGTTGTTTAAGTATTATTGTTTATACAAACGATTTTTTTATATTTTGTATTTATACACGAGAGTAGTCAAAGATGATAGGTATGATTACTTATATTACCGAATGTCATGTCTTTTGTTCGTAATAATTCGTGTTGTAATTTGTTATATTCATCGTTTCAGGATAATTTAGAATCATTCAGGTTATTATTTTTATTTGCAACTTAATAAATTTATGAGCATTATTATAATTAATACATTACATGATTTTTATTCACCGATATCTTAGTTTATATTTTTAATCGGATTCTGGAAGTTTGGTCTGAAAAGCCCAGAGCTCGAAGTTTTAGTTCCCTTACTCTATGTCATTTCATTCATTCTCAATTCATTCAATTAATTCATCGAATAGCCATTCGTTCTATTGATAATGATAAGGTGGTAGCTACTTATGGCGTTGTAGGAGACGATTGGATTATTTTTACATTTTACATGTAATAGTTATAATTGATGACGCTAATCTCATATGAGTTTTCAGCATTTATTTACTTATAATTTTAGTTTCGTGTAATGCTCGTTATAGTTATTCGGTGAGAGCGAATATTTCTTTGTTTTTTTTTCATCCAACATATGTTGGACTACTTCAGTTCGTTACAAATTACGCGTAACAAATTTTTCTGTACGCGCACAATGATTGCATCAGTAAATTGTGATAACTTAGGTTCAAACAACAGTAAAGGAACCAGAAGCCATTCGGCTCAAGGTCTGGCGAGTTCCGTGTCTAGTTCAGCAATGAAGATACCGTTACCTCCTCGTCCATGGATCACAGGTAAGAATCTTGTATGATTATTTATAGATTCAAGTCAATTTACTTTCGTTTCTAATAATCTTCTAACTATATTTTGAGAAACACTATGGAAATTTGTTACGCGACAAGTTATGTGGCATTCATTATTTTGTATGTGAAAGTTTTTGTGTCGTTGAATTGGAATTGATTTTCAGGTATTGACGGTTATGTGTCTGTTTTCAGCATTGTTTGTTATTTGTAAAGAGTTATCAATCTCATGTTACTATAAACAGTAGACTCGATTGTTTTACCATATTATTATTATGTATACATACATACGTACGTACTCTCACGTTTGCTGAGCGTATGCATGATACTTAGGTTTATGTACTTACCTAGATTGATGTTGTTTTCTAAGTATATTCATAATGGAAAACATGTACTATTTGTTGGTATCTAAGTACCTACTGTACTGTAAACTACTTTATGATGCTGATAAATGATTTATAAGCAAACAATTCTATACTTATCTTTGTTATAGACTCTTTAGTGACATGTGGTACTTACCTAGTTTTGTTGTATGAACTTTGCAATGAACAGTTTCAGAATATTCCCAATTGTAATGTAATACATTTGTTTAGGATTATGTTTAAGAATTTTAGTGCATGCATGAGAATTGAGTTTTTATTCAATTATGAACTTATTTAATTTACTGTTGAATGCATAATGCATTTACTGTTATACAGATTGTATAACAGTTTTATATTCATTCAACCATACATTCTTTAAAACTCTGCACATGGTCTTAAACATGTATTCAGTAGGTATAGCAGTTTTTGCTTTGTTTATTTACTATAAGAAACTGAGATAATAATGCTAAATATGTTTATCAGAACCAATAGGTATAGGTATCTAATGTGTCAAGTTAAATTAGCATTTTATGAAGGTCAATCTAATTAAAAAGTATTAAACTATATTAAATTAAATTTTAAGTATATTTGTAGTTGATAACTATCCAAATGCTTAGATGGAAACTTTTTTACTCACAAACCATTATAAACACAAAGCTTTTCCATACATATTGTATCTGAATGTTAACATTAAATCTATTAATCTGACCAAAATTCTATAATGTCCCTTTAGGAACTCTAATTGAAGTAGTTTTAGAGGATTCATAAAATATCTTTAATTGAGATAATTATGTAAATGTAAGGTTTATTTTAAAATCTGAAATGTTTTAATTGGGAAATTCAGTTTTGCAGTATTCATGATAGTTTTTACACCTTGTGGGATTTTAGCCAGCTTAAATAAAATGTTCACATTACAAACACTCAATATTATAAGGAAAACAAGTTAATAACCACATTAAATGGTCTAACAAAAAATCAGAAATGACTTGTGCAATAAAATGATGATGACTCATGTAGAATTTGTATTATTTGTATTTTGCAATCTGTCACAGTATTGCAATATTGTGGAAATGTAAAATTAAAATGTTTGTTTGTGTTATTATTATATTTTTACAAGCTAGGGGATAAAAATGACATGTATGCAATAATTTTTGAGTACATTTATGCAAAGTTACAGTGAGATATTTAAACTTCATTACTTATAATTATATATTTTTTGTTCTTGTATGTCTCTTAAAACTTGTTCAAATATCCTTCAGTTGCATCTTGTAAGTCTTAAAATCATTAGAAGGCCATTGTTTATCTAGACAGTTCGATAATACCAAGTACTTGCATGCAACTACAGTTATCCAATTTAACGCTGCGACCAGTTTCAAATAGGATGTGCAAATTATTTTATTATTCACATTGCCAGTGCATCACAGTCCCCTACGAAGCGCAGCCATAAATTCTTAGTGGTGCTTATAGGTTCTTGTGAATATTTTAAATTTTATTTTATTGCCAAACAGATGCAGAAGATGATTCATCAGATGACATGGACAGTAGTAGTATTATAAAAGACGAGGGCCTGATTGCTATGGAAAGAACGAGAATGAGGTCAAGATATCGACACCATAAACAAAGACAAGTTAATGTACCTATTGGAATATTTTGGGATATTGAAAATTGCCAGGTAATTTCTTTTTAATATTTTTTTTTACAGTTGACAGTATTGTATATATACTTTACTTTTCTCATCTTATTCCTTTTACTACCTCTTTGGTTAAATGGTCGCAAGGTGATCCTATAGCTGTTTTCTGTTTTGTCCTAAAATTAATGTCTTTATTTCAGATACCAAGAGGTTGTTCTGCCATAGAACTGGTGGCTGCGATACGAGCAAAGTTTGTAAGGGATGGAAGAAGAGAAGCTGACTTTGTAGTTGTTTGTGATGTTCGGAAGGAAACAACCACAAGACTCTTAGAACTTAATGATGCTCAAGTAAGTTTCATTCATGTATGCTCAAATATGTTTCATTATGTACATCATATACTTTTTATTTAATAGATGGAACATGGAAATAACGTAGAATTGTTCCAATTCCTATTCATGTTATAAATTATGAATGAAAACCATGTTTCAAAACCATAAAACCATATAAACATATCATAAAACTATGCATTATTACTCTTTGAAGTATATTTATAAATTGTGCATTTGTTCTGAATTATCTACATCTATTGTATGATACATATTAACAATGATGATGATTCTGGGAAGTTAATCTCTCAACATTGTTACTTAGTAGACATTGACATTGTTATATCATATGTCATGTTTTGATCAAACACATTGAACTTTAGCTTTCATTGTAGTCAGTACCAACAAGAAAAGTGTTGGCATTGTTTATTTGCATGTAGTTAGCAATTTTTTTATGCCTAAAATGCAAGAGATGTGCCTGATTGAACCGCAACAACAAAGAAATAACAATTTCATTGCCGACTTTTTAGCAATAATTCTTAATATAAATCTGATATTATAAATATATTGAGAGTATTAATAAAAAAAATGCCAGTTACTCACGTAAATATACTCAGAAAAGCTCTACTAATTTCGAGTCCAAGGGACTTTACCCATGAGCCGCGTTCGCGGTCGCGGCGACATCGCGCAACCTACTCCGTAATAGACTCCCTCTGTGACTCGAAACAAGTAGAGCTTTTCTCAGTACATTTACTTAGTACCTCGTAATTTTTTAGTTAATTCAGTAGGTATGTCTGATGATAGTTATTATAAAAAATATATTGACAGTATTTATTTTTATATCAACAGGTGAGCTTAATACATGTCTGTAGAACTCAGAAAAATGCGTCGGATGATAAACTTCGCCAGTGTATGAGGAGGTTTGGAGATCTCCACTCATCACCGGCTGCTATATTATTGATATCTGGCGATATTGACTTTGCTGCAGATTTAACTGACTTCAGATATAGGTATGAATTCATAAATACTAAGTAAATTGTAAGTTTAATGTATTAATTAATCTTTATTTATTAAGTACTATTAAAATAAGATGTTAAAGTAATTAAGATGTAGAATAGAAAAGTTCGAGAATATTTTGATATCGCGATATAGAAACTGACACAGTCCGAAGTCTATTGTGTGAATAAAACCAGATGAATTGCTCTGTATTATTTTAGTTGACACTTTAGTATTTAATTTGCAAAAGAAACTTTAGTATTTATTTATAACTTATATATTCTATATGTATCACACATATTTTTAAATTCACATTAACTTTCTGTCTGACTGTTTGAGGTGAACTCAAAAACTGCTAAACAGATTTTGATGCAGTTTACACTCGATTCTCATGGAAGATTGTGTATAATAAATGATGGTTTATGTGCAGGCAGAATGTGACAGTATTTTTGTTTTTATGACACATTTAAATTAAGAATTATATTTATCAGGAAAAACATGGAAGTGATATTGGTGCACAAAAAGAACACTTCGGCGGCTTTAATTGCATGTGCCTCGTCTCATTATTGCTTTGAGGAGATCGCCTCTACTCTGCCCAGAAAGGTAAAGGCCAGAATATGAGACCAATTAACAAATTACTTTATTTATTTTATTTTCAACTTTGACCCACACTAGGATGCTCTCCTCTGTCGTGGGTGCATTAAAAAAAAAATGTCGCATACACATCACACTTAGACTCAGAACAACAATTTGTGGATTACACAAACAATTGTTCTGTGCAAGTTAGCATTAAAGCGGTGACAAATTGCACAGTAACCTAGTCACTGTGCTAAGTGTGCAACCTAATACTTTAAGTGCTAAACGTTTAGTTTAATCTTTTAAAATCTTTAATTAAACACAATGTGTTTACATAGTGATAAGCTATCAAATTATTACGCGCCCCCCAACAACAATGACTCATACATTTCTATATGGTTATGGCAGTCATTCTAATATTGCCTTTATGCACGCACCGATAAAGTGTTTAGCCATGTACGTAAGTTTTTACACGTAACGTACATGGCATACGTAACATTTTGTCGTCGGATCTTGAGGGCTAAGTACTATTTGACGTTTATCGAGATAAAAACGAGACTGCGTACGTCGCTTTGATTGGTTGGTTCATAAGAGCTGGCCAATCAGAGCGCCGAGGCCTTAGTACGAGTTTATTTTACGTTTAAAATTATCGAATTGAGACCGCGCTCTGCGCTCTGATTGGCCGGCTCTAATGAACCAACCTAAATTGGACCCTGTTGAGCAGAAAAGATCCAGCCCACATTTAATTACTTTTGAGTAAATGATGTTTACAGTAATCATATAATACCTATTCAATATAAAACCTATTCCATAGTAACTGTATCACATGATTTTTTTATTATCAGCCCAACATTAAACTTCATTTTAAATTTCATAAAATGTGGGCTGGATCTATTCTGCTTAACAGGGTCCAATTGTTGTAAAACAAAATCGTTCTAAGCACTCTGATTGGTTAGTTGGTTGGATCAGGCCAATCAGAGTGCGGAACGCGGTGACGTTTCGAACGCTCGATCTCGCAAAATGTAAAACAAATTCGTACTAAGACCTCAGTTCAGATCGCAGGATGACCGGTGCCGGGAATCCGGAATCGGGAACGTGTGAAAAGGCATGTTTATGTATGCACATACATTGTTGTACGTAGGTAGAGTATTTTTATAAAATTGTCCCCTTGTGGAATGTTATTGTCAATTCGGTATCATTGTAGTTGATAACGCATAAATCCAGTTATTAAGCACACTGATATAAAAAGTAACACTCCAGTCACGATGTTTTGTTTCAAATGATCTTGAATTGGTTTTTTGTTGACGTCACTTTTATCTACTTCATGACGAAATTAAAGTCGAATATCTACTTAATACCATATTTCTTTAATAATTTGGCAATACAACAAATACATTTACAATTTCAAGACTATGTGTAATCAAATTCAAAACTTGTAAAATTGAATACAATATTTTCATAGGTCGCAATATTGGTCTTAGTAATATTAGATTGAAATAAATTAAGATGGATAGTTTATGAATAAGATAGTTTATATGTATAATATAATTAGAATACATAGGTACGTATAAGTAGAATCTAATAAATAAAACATACTATTTTGAGCTTCCTTAAGCGTAAGCTACACTGCCAGTTAGCGAGCGAGCGCGCTTAATTCGCGTTTGTTGTTTCACTTTTAAACTATGATATGAAAATTAATTTTCTATGGCTAGTTAAGCCTGGTTATATATGTCAAGCGAAACTATATTTCTGTAGCATGGAAAGAAGTGACACAACGGGCTCCTTAACTGGCCGATGTGACCTACGCTTTATATTGTGTACGCATGATTTCTGACAGATATTTTTTAATGATTCAGGTATCAAAGAGTGAGGACGACACTCCAACTTGTGAAGTGGAAGTGTTAAACTTGCCCATCCACCAGCCACCTGAGCTGGTGTCTATAAGACTCCGCCATCTTGCCAAAAAGTCTGGTGGCAGGGTTGTCTCTGTCACCGCTCCTACTGCAATACTTAAGTTTTCTACGCCGGACCATGCATCGAGGTAAGCTATTTTAAATATATCTAGCTATTTTATTTAGGATTTTTTTAAGGGGGGAAATTACTGACTAAAAACCACCCCGTTCCTTCTCCTGCACTTCGAGCCGGAGCCCCGGTAACCCGTTAAGTTCTCCGCGACATTATATTTAGGATATGTATGTCTAGCTATTGCTTTAAAATACTATATTGCCTAAAACGGTTACCATCTTCGAGATAATCGATATTAATTTAGATACGTAAATAACCAAATTGCTAATTTACATTTCAAAATAGTAATTGCGTTTCAATCCAAACAATTTTGTATAATTACATCCTGATCTATCAATAGACAAGCAAGTTCGAGTAATGTATTCAAGTTTTTGCCGACTGCATGATACCTAGAATTTTAATACTGCTTAAGAGTCTACCCATAGGTTCTTAGTGCACGACGCACGAAGTCCTATAAGGTGGCGTTGTTATATCAATGTATGTGCAATGTAACTTCAAGAAGGGAGTGAATAGGTTTGTTAAGGATTGGCAAGCGCAAGTAATGGTCAAGTGTTGCAAGCGTACATAGGCACAGTAACCGCTTACCATCAGGTGGGCTGTGTGCTTTTTTGCCATAGTCGTTGTATAAAAAAATGTGCTCAATCTAGATGTAGGTATGACCTACTAACCAACAATATAAATAACAGATTTCAGTCCAATATCTTTGGAAACGTTGCGACGTTATTAGGATAATAGTAGGAAACAGCCAAGCTCTAGTACCTACTTATTGAACTGATCGTAGCAGGTCATATGAATCGCGTGTCACTTTATTAGTGCATTCACCCGAGCCGATGTCGATGTGTTGACACTAATTGCATAATGGAAATGCGTTCTTAGAAGTACCTATACGTAGTTTGTATATTGTGTTATGTAGTTATAATATTGTTAGCTGGTTTATGCAAATATGTATTTTAGAATGAGATCAAGGTTTTACCTAAAGCAACATAAACATTTTTCGCGGTAAAAAATACGCATTTAATCTATGGACAGTGAAAGTTATTACGCAAATTCGCGCATCTGTTAAGACGTTGTTTTATAACAATACACGTGAGACGTGATTGCACTGAGTCTTCGCTCATTAAATTATGACTTTTTGAATTTCGATCCCTGATTTAAAAACCAAAGTCTGAAGATTGCGTTCGGTGTTTTGAAAATACGTTTGGCCCTTATGCAGTTGTTTATATTATTGCAATCCCCAATCCTATTGTAATGTGGACCCCATTTAATAACAGCCAGTAAGGCGTGTTAAACATAACCGGTTTTGGTGTACAATGGTCTACGTACCCTCAGAGAATCACGAACGCAATGTTAAGTAATGTTATACTGGTAGAAAGAAGTTATAAAACCAGAATAATTAAGATTAACATACATACATACATAAGAACTTTTTAGTAAAGTAACGCCTTTATCTCATAGACAAGACTGAAATAAATCTGATCACAAAAATAAATACTTTTTGGAGAGACAATAGAAAAGGCTAGGCTAGAGAGGTGTACCTAACTACCTACTAACAGGCATTTTTTAAGTGTAGCCCGTCTAGCGATTACTCCCGAGTCGTAGATGCGTTTACAAACATAGTACCTAATTAACTGGCTTTGGAATGATAACTTCACCTTTCTTAACCTTTTATTTACCAAGTTGTTTCTCTTCGCATTATACTCGCACCCTAATAGTCGGAAGTAGGAAATCGGTATTCATACATATGCCAGCTGTTACGACGTCACGTTTCACCTCGATCATTATTTAGGTTCCAGTTATGATTTCTTTGTAATTATCTGTATTTGTACCTACAGTATAGAAACAGTATTGTATAAAAACACTACGGAAACAGTGATTTGAAACTTGACTAACTTATAAAACCTAGCTAGCTAGTCCGCGTAGAAAATGATTTCTATTTTATCCCATGGGAGCATTTAATTGGGATAAAAAGTCACCTAAGTCAGCTCATACCCTGTCTCTGTACCGAATTTCATCAAAATCCGTTCAGTACTTTCAGTGTGATTGACGGACAAACATCTTAACAAAGAAGCTTTCACATTTATAATATAGTGTGATGTTCATTATAAGTACTTATGATTTGCTGGAAGTTATTGGTAGTTATGAGGAATTAAATGAGGCTGTTGTCATACAGAGGTCATAATATCAGATTTTATAAGCTAAGAAGAAAAATCTAATAATACGTTTCTTTACCTGTGAAATTCACACAAGACTTATAAAAACTTACTTAGTAATGGCGCTTGCAATCATTCGAGAGTTAAACGTGTATTATATTTAAGAACATCGAGTACTAATCGATTTTCTAAGGACTTACAATGTAATTAATGTAATAGACAGAAGACGTCATTAATGTCATTACGAACATAAATCAGCTGATGCATTGATACATAGATAATAATAGCTATACTTAAAGCTTATCGATAAACATTTAATTATTATTTTATTTATTAAAGCAGTTTAATTCATACAATACATATTTTAATTTAATTTTAATAACAAAAGGATAATACGAAAGGAGTTCGATTCGTAAATTAAAGATTTATATTTTTTAAGTTTACCTACATAGTTGAACGATTTTAGTTGTAGTATCTAATTGGGATTTGAACAGGTCATTGCATCGTCAGGCACGAGCCGCAACACAGTGATATATGATAAAAACTAAAAAAAAAATTTAAAGTGTAACGTTCTTTTTTCAAAACCTTTTGTCGTTTTCGATTTGATAAACTTTTTAATTAATGATCTCCTGGCGTGGATACTAGATACTATGTTATTATCAGGGTAAGACTTATTATACATTTATTTCTTTAAGTTTCTAACGAAAGTTGCACTTTTTGATCGCTTTGTGCCTTTATTTCGTTAATTGGAAACTTTGTTGTAATATGAACAAATGGATTATGTTTGCAAAACTCTTAATATACGTGATTAAACGTTTAGTTCGAAATGATGTAATCTTGAGCACATTTTTTCTGTGATACGAATTGTGTCGCAGATCTCGAAATTATTGCAACTGTTTATTTTCCGCTATCAACTGTTTCTGGCAGTCGTGCACTATGATATTTCTATTTTTATGCATCCTTCGGTATTAAACGCATTCGGTTGGTTTCAATGGTAGTTTGCAACGTCACACATGATTGCCATTTCAACCTCAACGTTGCGGAACGTTGGGCAGCGTTTAATCGAGTCTATCACTGTAAATATTTGTTCTACAACGTACGCAGTAGATTTAGCAAATATTTTCACGTATTCAATGTATTGTGTATGGAAAAACGGAACCTTTCGTATTTTGGTCTGTCCATTAACATTTTCAACCTAATTTTGATTACGTACAGAAATTGTGGATGGCGATAGACTCACTTTTGATTACATGGAATAATTAACATAACTCGTTAAATTGTACAGTACCTACATAAATGTAGGTAAGCTCTCTACCTATCCCTTTTAGAGTTAAAAAGTGTGATGATATGTTTCTTTTAAATATGTCCCCTTATTTCTCGTTCGCTCTTTGAGTAAATCGATCGTTAAATGAGTCATGAATCATAACCAATAAAAAATATGGTGGTAGGATTTTCACTTTAATTTTATTGACCAAATTGAGGGTATATAGGTAATTAAAATCAAAAGTTTCGGGTAGTTTTTGAATACCAACTAGATAATCAAACTGTTAACGGTCGAAATTAAGAAGCGATTTTAATCTTAAATCCAGTACTATCTAAACTAGATCTAGTTATTTTAGAAATTCTATACTGCAAAAATCGATCTCATTGTCAATGTTGAGATGGTAAAGGGTTTGAATCGAGATCGATATCAACCGTATAGCTGTCTGAATAGTTATCATTGATTGTATGTGAACTTATATGTTTGTAAACGCACCCACGACGCAGGAGAAAATCCTAGTGTAGGGCAAGGTTTTTTTTAAATATCAATATTAGATCATACAGTAAGAGGACAAAAGCTTACTCGAGACATTTTTACACCACCATGATACTACTTCATAAATGCGACCCTCTACAGATTTGATATTTTTTTTTAAGTCCCTCTTTAACATACCTCCGATCCAAGCTACCCCTTTAGCGACCCCTCAATTGTACCAAAATTTGTAAAATTCTTTTGTCCAAGTAATGGTCGCAACTGCCATTGGTGGTAAGGGGACTCAGGTTCGATTACCGGGTCTAGCGAATTATTACATTATTGTCGTTTTTAGAAATTCTCAAATTACTAATGATTTGGGTCCGTGAGTGTCGTTAGGAGTGGAGTGGGTAGACAGAGGTGTACTAAAAGTACTTACACATGTCACTATTTTTTTTGTAACTCTCATTGTAATCGATAGCGATTTTGTTAAGAATTAAGAACTAATATGACAGTAGTTCGCACTACCCAGTGAGTTTCATCGTATGAGTGAGATTAGCGGAGGCCCAATTATCCCCCTCCCCAATCCCCGAATTTCTTAAACCCAAAAGGCCGGTAACGCCTCTGCTGTTGCGGGTGTCCATAGGCTGCGCCGATTGCTTACCATCAAGTGATCCGTGTGCTCGTTTACCAGCTTATCTCCGTAAACAGCTTTGAGACCGCATTCTCAAGAGTCGTGCCTATCACCATTCAACAATAAGAACACGATACTGACTAAGTAGGTCTTGTAACTCTATTAAGATACAGTTGGAATATGATACGCTCTGATTATATTGTCCTCAGCGAACTGCGCATTTATGTTCGTTCTGAGAATACACGTATACAAACTTGAATATAAAATTATTCAATAAGTGTTAGTCATGGTGGTCGGGAACTGACCTTTTTAAATGTTTGTCCTGTATTGTTATGTGCTTAGGTACTTTTATTATCGGTATGAGTACGAATATTTTGTGCATAAGAACCTACTACTTTTAGTCAATTTTTTTCATACAAGCTGTGTACCAATTGAACATAATCAACAGTTATCCAATTAGTTGTACCTATACTTAGTTGTTCTGAAGTACATATAAATTACTAGCTACTTCCGCGTGGTTTCACACGCTCTGCTCAGCTCCTATTTGTCGTAGCGTGATGTTTTATAGCCTATAGCCATCCTCGATAAATGCGCTATCCAACACAAAAAGAATTATTCAAATCAGACTTGTAGTTACGGAGATTACCGCGTTCAAACAAACTATAGGTTTATATAATAGTATAAGATTAATAATTAAGCCGCCAGGCATTAAGCCCGCCATTGTATAGACATTTGTACAAGAAGTGTTAAAATTAATAAGTATATAAATGTTTAAATTATGTTTTTTATAACACCCTCTTACTTTCTTAATTTCTGTACCGAGAGGGTTTTCAAGTCATCTCAATTTTTGTTACAATAGTGTCTGTATCCTAACTTATGGTAATTAACTAGTGTTTATGCTCGCTAGTTTTTTCCTGTATTGTCAATATATTACATAAAAACATTCTGAACTTGAGGTAGAACAAACATAACTGCCTGCCTCGTTGGCCGAGTGGTCGCAAGTGCGACTGCCGGGCAAGGGGTCGGGCACGGATTCCCGGGTCGGGCAAAGTATTACTGGGTTTTAAAAAATTCTCAGTAGTAGCACGGAGTCTGGAATTGTGCCCGGTATATGGCAATAGGCTCACCCCCTATTACATGGGACTCATAACATAAATAGTGAAAAGTGGGTGTTACATTGTACAGTGGCATAATGTGCACCTCTGCCTACCCCTTCGGGGATAAAAGGCGTGATGTTATGTTATGTTAACAAACATAACGTAACATCACAACTTTTAATCCCCGAAAGGGGATGGAACATCCGCTTTCTCCAGTTATGATATGTTACTTATAACCATACCAAACTCACTATTAGATAATATTACAGACTTTGTTATCTTCTCAGGTATCTTCTTAACGGCATATGCTAATTAGTTAAAGGAGGATTTGCCTTTAACACTTATCTACTGACAGTCAAAGAGTTAAAGTTTTTCTTAAGAGCACGCATAACTGTGGTAAAAAATATTTCTATAATTATTTTTTTACTTGCAGAGCTCTGATGCGTATGGACGGGGAGGATGTTTACGGACGTAAGATAAGTACGCGGTACGCTCGTAGCGCTGTGCCGCCGACGTACTCCAGTGATGAAGGGTACAGCACTGCGCCTGCGTCATACCAGCCACCCGCCTTTGTACCACCGCCTGCCAAGGTTTGTATAGCTTTGTTTTACATTTCTTCTTTTCTATTAATGCGATAATTGAGTTTCCTTTGAAAGGAAGTAAGTAATGGAGAATGAGAATATAAGCCATGAAGTAGAATGCGACGATGTTGAGTAGTAATCAGTTAGAATTAGTAGGGGCCATAGAATACCAGCGCAAGGCCCTGTCTTCCTAACTTGAACATACTGAACTGGTCCCATTTCGCCGCAGACTTGGGACATAAACATGTACCCATCGGTACTTATAATCTAACACGTCTATAATCTGTACAGGTCACTTGTTTTTAGTGTTGTATCAAATGTTTTTTCTTTCTTTCTAACCAGTAGATGATATTGATAAGACAGAAAATAGTTTCAAAAGGATCAAGCAATAAGGATAAAAAAAATATAATGTTAACGTTTTACACTAGGAATTTCACATATTTATATGATAACCATAACGTGCAATAAGAATGTACAATCTTCTTATCGTACATTGCGGTTTATTACTGACTTACACATTTATGTGGATAGATTTCAATCAATATAATGTACATATAATATTATTCTTATTTCTATTGTCTTATGGTCGTCAATGCAATATTTGTTAGCTGTAGAGAAAATCTAGGTCTGATTTATCTTTGGCGTGAGTTTACATAAGTCTTAAGTTTTTAATTGATTTGTTTCTAGATATGCTCATCGCCTCAAGAGATGGGCTCGTTCAATACTCCTTGTATCTCGAAGGAGTGGGCTATGGCTCTGAAACAACTGCCGGCGCCTACACCACCACCTCATGATTTCTGTCCCCCACCAGCGCCCAAACCTAGGAAGATTAGGGGCACGCATGGTAAGCCTTCTAGTTATGCAATATTTTTTAACTGCTAGCCTATGCTAGCTGTTTCGCCTGCGTAAAAGTGGCCTGTGTTATTCCAAACCATACATTACCCCCCTGTTTCGAATTTCATCATGATCGTGTTAGCCGTCAAAGTCAAAGTCAAAATCATTTATTTCAATTAGACCAGGAAGGCACTTTTGAACGTCAGCAATAGAAATTTAAAAGTGAAGCTATTTGCCGTTTTGATGTGATTGAGTAACAAACATATACACGACCTCATAACTTTCGCATTTATAATAATAAAGTAAGAATAGTAAGATAGTAAAACTAGTTATTATTATGTTCTAATTTATGTCAAAATGTAGTAGGTATGACGTATATTTTGATACTTGGAACAACGTAGCTACCTAATCGTTGACCTTCCTCTTTTAACCAGTAACTTTACCTTGATAAAACATAGATTTACTTTTTGTACTTTTTTGTTCTAACCTTCATTCAGTATTTTTTCTTTTTTAATTATAGTATTGTGATTAACTTTCAGTAGTGTTCACATTTATATAGTAAATCCGTTTAATTATTTCAATAGGGATATTTTATAAAATTTTGTTTGATATTTTTTCCTAATACATTTCAATTTTAAAGAAGATACATATATTCATACATAACTTCACACCGTCTCCCATAGACGTAGGCAGACACTATGGAACGCCAATTGCTACGGTTCCTACATACCTCGTTTCATCAACAGTCATCAATCTTTTCATGAATGCTTGTGGGTTAAGAGTACTTTTAAATTGGCCCTTCTTTAATAATTTTCTTTGAAGAAGATTTCAAGCAATAATTGTTTTTTTACCAGGTTCGGTGAACTTGGACCAATCGGGCTGTTCGTCAAGTAATAGTGGGGAGGGTCGCAATGGAGATATTAGTGCTAGCAGGGCGGTGTCTCCATGGAACTCTTCAGCTAGTTTCAGTGAACATAGCGAGTCTGAAGAGTCCACTGCTGAACTAACCGTTTCTAACTTACCGCCTTATGATGCTGCTATTTTGCAGGTAAGATGTCGAAATAAAAATATTATGTTTACTTGCTAATTTATTTTTATTACTATAAGCGTCTTATCAGTCAGGCTGGCTGTGCAAAATTAGTTTTAGGTAATTACCATTACTTTAGTTAATTAATTAAAATTAAATTTAATATTCGCATGTAAACATTTTTAGGAAGAAATTCAATTGCATGGTTCTTATTCAATTATGAACAATTAACTCTAAGTGAGATTTATATCACATTTATTTATTTTTTGTTTAGGAGATGCTGACTCAGCTATTCAACTTATACGTACAAACCGTCCGAGTAACTGTTTGGGCGGCTGGGGAGGGTCCTCTAGCGACTGTAGTGCTTCGTTCAGAATGGGACGCAAGGCTTGCAATCGCTCGCATTCACAAACGCCGTCTAGACAACCAATGGACGGGGCGACGCCTAGAGCTGTCTCTAGGCAAGCCCTCCCCGGCTCCCAATCTAGACGTCCTAAGAGCTAGACTAAGAGCCATTTTACTCGATCAAAAGAATCATACACTACCTCTTTTGAGACTGAGGGATGCTTATGCCAGTCGTCATTGCTGTGCTTTGACGACTTCAGATATAGCTAAGCTTAAAGACACAGTAATCATACATGAAGGGTTTGGTAGAATGGTTCAGTTGGTGGATCTAACACCGGTGTCTAGTTCTGAGATGGAGGAGGCGCCCTGGAAGTGCCATATACACGCGTCCATGAGCAACGGACAAGAAGACGGCAGCCGTATTCTACAACCCGTCTATATGGAGATCTCGACTTTGGCTAAGAATGTACATATTTTGTTGGAGAATCATGGAGGAATTTTACCGTTGTTAAGGTAAGTTAAATCTGTTATTATGTTTTAATTTATAAACAATCTTCGTTTTTGTACCGAGTAAATTCTAAAATGTATTGTTCAGTCTATCCTGACTTGAGAAAACCTTGAATTTCACGAAACTAGAAAGTTAACTATGTATTTTGACTGCCTTATCCTGTTTGACAAAGCGGTTTTCACATTACTGTTCGTAATTTGAAAACATTATATTTATATATTAGATATTTATGTGTAAGCAATACAATCTCTATAACAGTTTTGTGGAGTGCTACGAGTCTCGCTTTGACGCGTTGGTCTGCGACCCGCGTCACGGCGTGGCTCTGGAACTACTCCTGCGCAGCGTGGAGGGACTGGACGTACGTGACGCGCCCTCTCGACACCTCACGTGGAAGGCCAGGCCTCTCGCACTCACTCCGCCTCTGCCTCAGGCTGCTAATAGTCAGTACACTTTATTTACCAAACTTCTTTTCGATATATTTTTGCTACATTAAATGTATAGTTTGTGAAAGTCTACGATACAATACAAAACTCTCCTCGTCCTACCTACTTTTTTAATCTTTTGATCGCCATAGACAATGAAAGGTATAAATTAAAAAACTTCGTGATATTTTAGACGTGCATAGTCTAGCGTGAAAATCTACAGACGTCTGTGACGGCCAATAGATAAAGAGATTCAATTTTTCCAATTTTCTGATATTTTTTCCGTGTTCGTAATAAAAGTATTGTTTCCAGGCGAGAGCTCCCGTTCGAGTGGAGAACGCGAGCGGCCACGCACTGCACCTGCGCTAGAACCGATGCTAGCGTTGTTTGAAAGAGAACTCATTGACTTGCTGCGTACGGCGCCTAGGTGCTCCATACCATTCAGCAAGTCAGTATCACTAAACTTTATTTATAATATCTATCTGTGGTTGTAATTTCATTGGTTTTCATCAATTATTCAGTTTTTTGTTTATATCCTAATTTATTTTCTCAGACTTATACCAGCTTTCCACCACCATTTCGGTCGCCAATGCCGTGTAGCCGACTACGGCTTCACTAAATTACCCGACCTACTTGCTGCACTCGGTAATGCTATCGTGGTAAGTGATGTAACAAATTTTTTTGTCTATCAATGAAAGATTTTAGCGTTTCGAGGTTTTGTCAAGTAATCTATTTATTTCAGGTTCTGGGCTCAGGCTCATCTCGTATTATAACAATATCGGCGGCGGCTCAAAGCCGTCGTTGGACATCAGATCTCGTGAAGGTATTGAAGGGGCAACCGGGGCGAGCAGTGCAGTTGCACGAGCTGCCACACTTGTACCACGCAGTGACAGGCCGGCCATTCTCCCCCGTGGACTATGGAGTCTGCACTGTCGCGGAGTTGATGCAGCGCGTCAACCCTCAGGCAGTCACCGTCGCACCAGACGGCACCATCTCCCTGCCACGGCGTCTGCCCACTCCAGAAGAAAGGGCCCGTACACGAGAGTTTGCCATGCAGGTAAGCACGTCATCATATCATCATACATCATCATTTAATCATTACTTTGAGCATCATCACATCAAGCGTTAAGTTATTGCCAAATACTTGCTTTGGTTGGTGGATTAATGATTGCAGTGTGAATCATTGTATTTAGTAAGCTACGGTTAGGTACTTTTTTAAGGATGATAATAATAATTGACGGAAATATTTAGGATTTTATTTATTCGGGTGGTGGAAGGATTGTTTTTAAAGAGTTTGTTATGGGTGTTAGTTCAATCGATAGTTTTGGCGAATATGCTTGTGGTTTTGATAAGTGCGGCTGCGTATTTATCGAGGCGACGCGTATATTCGGCAAAACTGGCGAGATCGGTATCGGAGTAGCGTACGTTGCACCAGGCGGTGGAACTGTTGCGGCACACGGCCAACTTGCGCATGGAGTTCTCGCGCTTCGTGCCCGCCTACCACGCGCACTTCGGGAGACAACTACGGGTGGCGCACTACGGCTGCGTCAAGTTGTTGGAACTGTTCGAGCTCATCCCCGAGGCAGTGGCCGTGTGCGGCGCCGGCGCGGCCGAGCGCAGCGTGCGCCTGCGCGGCGGCGTGGCGCGCGCGCTGCTGGCGCGGCGCCTGCGCGCCCTGCCCGCGCTCGCACTGCGCGACCTGCCGCTGCACTACGCGCACCACTACGGCGCGCCGCCGCAGGTACACCGGCACCACTCCGACACTCGGACCACTACTACACCCAGTCTTCTGTACGACATTGATCACACGCAACTGATCCGACAAAAACAAAACCAACTATTTTACATAAAACTACATAAAACTGCTAGGAGTGTTTGGCAAATTCATGTAGATTCATTACCTCATTTGATCATCCATCATACTTTTTATTCACAGCAAATTATACTTTACCGATACCTACATAATAACGGTGTCACATGTGTCAATTTTCACTTTCACGTAATCATATTGCAGCCTGACATGTTGGAAGCTGATACACTGGAAGGTTTGGTGTACGCTGCGGGCGGCTGTATCGAGAACAATATAGTAGTGGCCCCTGGAGGGTCCCCTACCTGGGCGGGATGCCTATTGACTGCGTGCGCGGTGTTGTGTGGGGACCGTAGTGTGGCGCGGGGCTCCACGCTGGAGTACTTTACGGCGGCCTACCGCCGCCTGCGGGGGGCGGAGCCCGAGCTGCGGCGCCTCATGGCGGCCGGCGTCATCGTGCTGAGCGAGCAGCGCCTCAACGTGTCGCCCGAGTGGCGCGTCGTCTGGCGCCTCGCACAGCTACTGACGGACCGCGCTACGCCCGCCTCACCCGAAGAAATATTCATCGAGTTTGCACGTCGTTATGAACCTGTCTTCCCTGGAGTTGATCCTAGTGAGTAAAATTTCTCATTAAGCTTGTTAATGATGAAGATCACTATTCAGTATTTTTCGATGACAATGAGCCCTAGATGTTATTTTGATGTACTAACAGCAAACAAATGCATTTCACAGGTGCAGAGGGTGTGGCAGATTTCCTTCGTCATTACATGGAGATTTACGGAAAACGAGTCTGGGCGCTGGACCTTAAGCCCCGGTATCGTAGTACCGCGATGTCGGGAACTCATACCAGGCCCTACGCACGAGGATTACTCCGTTCATGATACACCACCGGGACAGAAGGTACTACAAATCCCATTTTCGTAAATACTTGCTATATAAGGTGTTCTTAGTCTTCAAGATGATAATAAGCGATATTTTTTTCAGGGCTCCCGTGTGTTTGAATCGCCAAAGAACAACATATGGTGCTCCCCACCTGCCAGCGCGTTGCCCACTCCTACTGCTTTTCTTAACCTCGAGAACAAACGTAAGAATTATTGCTTTAATTTATACTTTGATACATTTTTTTATGGCATAAGTCGGTAAACGAGCAGACGGATCACCTGATGGCAAGCAATCGGCGTCGCCGATGACACCTGGAACACAAGAGGCGTTACAAGTGCGTTACCGGCTTTTTGGGGATAATGAGTTTGAGGATCGTTGGGGATTCAGGAATTGGGAGATTGGGGAAGGGGAGGGTAATTGGGCCTCCGGTAACCAAACTTACACGACGAAACGCAACGCAAGTGTTGCTTCACTTCGGTTTTTTGTGAGATCGTGGTATCACTCCGGTTGAGCCGGCCCATTTGTGCCGAAGCATGGCTCTCCCTCAATATTTATGTAGTGGCTAATAAACATCACTTCCTTTTGCTCAAAGTGCGGATAATTTTACACCAATTTGCGTAAAGTTGATTTGCATATTTTTTGGTCATCAATTGTCAGTACACATTCGGGGGCTAATCGTAATGGGGCTTTCATAGAAAGAATTTAGTATAAGTTCGACATTTATTATTAGGTATTTATTATTGTGTATTTATTTCTGTATTTAACTATTATGTTGTTGACCAGGTCGTATTCGTTTGGCGGCTCACTTCGAAGGTCCATAATCCCACCGCGTCGTATAAGAAGATGCATTCCTTATTTTTGATGTAGGTTAGTATTATACGTGTTCCAAACGCGGCACCTGAAACTTTGGAGTGATGTGCATCAGGGTCGCAACGAATTTTAACTACTAGACTTATGTAAGTGTCCAATAAATTGTGATGTCTGTAACAATAATATTTTAGATGTTTATATTTTTATGTGTTTATTTAGTATAAGAAATCTTATGGTGCATTCGTCAAATGTTTTAAGTGCCGATATAAAACTAATGTTCCCCGTCTATGTACAAAGAGGTAAGTCTTAAGAATCATCTTGACCGAAGTCTTCTTTTACTTTATCTTAGTGTGTAAATTATAATGTTTTGTTTTAATTGACTAACTATTATATTTCATGTATCCAATGAGTCAGTTTCGTGTGTTGTTTCAAGGCTTGTTTCACAATGTCTGATTAAGTTACTGTTCGCTTAGCTGCCAGATATTTTGACTTCGTTTGTTACGAGGGGAAAACATCAAATTATCCGTCAGCTAAGACTAACAAAAATAAATTTAATCAGATTTTGTGAAACAGGCTGCTAGTCTTTCAAAGTTACTTGTTGAACTATTATATAGAATTGTTTAGACCTTACAACAGTGTAACTGCGTAACTCTATTCAATTTTACCTTGTTTTATTTTATATTTTGACATTTTATATACAGATTTTTTTTCTTATATTTTATATTTTGTGGCTCTTCACGTAACAAAGGACTGAACAAGCTTCAAATGATACTTTAAGGTACTAATAAGTTTATGAAAGATCTTACAGTATGTTATCTACGTAATAATTTGTAAGTAGATAATGTTACTGCCATTGATACGAATAAAACAATAATAAACACTAAATGTACATATCATTGATTTGAGGCTCAAAATATGTTAAGAATAGTTGCTAAGTTTTATTAAAATAAACATCTCGAGCACTTGTAACATTTTTCGGATGCCCACGAAAAGTACAATGATCATACAACATGTTGATTGTCCTAGAATTTTATCGTTTAATATATTTCAGCCACAAATCTATTTGCATGTATTTTGCTTGTATTATTTCGAAATTACTCTTCAAATTATTGTACAGACCTATTTCTTTTCTCATTGTGTAGGTGGATCACATTCGAATTTATGTAATTTTAGATAACATTTACATTCATGTTAAGTTCTATGTTCTACGGTGGTTTACGTAATACGCCAGTTGTTTGTTGAATCTCACTTTTGCGAACTGGCCTTAATGACGTCAATTAAAAACGTTCAAAGGTTTTATAAGAGTATTCAATGAATGTAGATGTAGGTGATATTATTATTGCTTTGATAGAATATGCTCGTGCCTAGTGCGATGTTGCTTTAATTTTATGACAATCGTTTGTGTTTTTCTTTAATTAAATCTCCTAGTTCCACATAGTTCCCCAAGAAAGACGTTGATTTAAGTTCCATTTGCTCTCGTTGCAATACAAGTGATTATTGTATTTTGTAACGTTATTGGCTTCTAAATCACGCACAGTAAGCTTTAACTTCTGATTGTGGAAGCAGACTTAATAATTTGTACCAAAGCACTAGTTAGATATTATATTCGGCCAAATTATCCTGTACTAGACATTATAATAATGTGCACTAATTATATCACATTGGTCGTAAGTTTGTAAAGAACCATTTTTTGTAAATGGGAATTAATTCCTCTAGTCTTTCTAGCAATGTTTCATGGGTTTAATTTTATTGTACCTATTATTTTTATTTTTTATATCTAAAATAATTATTCTAATCAAGGGTTCGTCTGTCTAACATATGTTTTAAAACGACAGCAACCTGCAATAAGCCATAGTGATAATTTATTTAGTTAATATAATTTGGAAATAGTGTTAACAGATTTATTTAATTATAAAAATGTTAGAAGTGATGAGCTAATGATTAATAATTGTAAATAGACTTGAGATTTAGTCTGTATTCTAAGGCATTAATTACCACTGTGATACTTCTGTACCATTGAATGCCATACTTGGTTTCAACTCGATGTAATAAGCGATCACAAATATTTTCTAGTATGAGCAAGAGTTTTATAATCATAAGTCGACGGTATATTTTCGTAGGTATGTATATAGTGTACATAATATTACATTTTGATTATTAAATTGGTACAAAGTATGAACATTTTAGTAATGAAATATTATACTCTCGATAATGTGGAACTACGATATTTAATTCCGAAATTATTTACAGATAATTTTGTTTTATATTTGTATGTAAGCGGGTTCTTGCATATTTGAAGTATATTTTTTCAATGCAATTAATTTTACATTTGTTACACTGCCAGTCCGCATTTGTACATCAGTATTGGCCATCAGATCATCTATTGAAACGAGATATTTTAAATAAGGTTTCTATCTATTAATTTTATGACCATTGTAATTTCTGATTGTGACTGCGTTCACATAGGGCCGGAGTACTGTCCAGCAATTCATAAATGTTACTTAAGATTTAAAGTTGGCGCAGACTGACGTTGCGGCACGTCTTGGCGTGCCGTGCCAAACACCAGACGGCTGCGGTTCACCATTTAATTTAGTTTCCCACAAATGATGCATCCAGATCGTTTCTTTAATTCATCAGTTTGTATAAAATTTCACGTAAATTTCAGTCAAATATATCGACACAATTAACTTGGACCCGCAGATAATGAAACCAGTTGAATATGAATATAGCGTTCTTTGATCTGAGCACGCTGTGTTATGCCAAGGCGTCAGTCTACGCCGGACTTTATAAATTTAATTACCATGTTCTCTAAGACTGTAGTGAAGATACATTTAAGTACTTTATAAGCTGTTGTTTTATTTTCTGACCAATAACTATGTATTTTGTAACAGTAAGGTAGAATTAAGTATGCATTCAAAGTTCATTACAGGAAGATGTAACATTTTCATAAAAGTTTTCCTACATCTTCGTAATTCTGTGATTATTTGTTATAGTTTTAACTAGTGAATCGATGTATTTGAATTAGTCGTTTCAGTATTGCATGTATGATGAATGTGTCGGAAAATAAATGTTATTTTTTCAATAATTTATTGTATCTTTCATTTATTATTTTGGTCAACTTATTTGTTACATTATTAGGTAATATGTCACCTCTTGCTATGGATATCTCATTGCTTGCTTGTAGTACAGCTTGTTACCTCAATTCATTTTTGATCACTGCTATTCCAGTTGCTATTAATGCTAACTTTGTTCTATGATTGATAAATTATGTATGTATAGCTATTAAGTTTTAAGTAACAGCACAAATGCACAATTTCGTCCACAGCAGCAATTTTTGAGAAATAAAGAATAAATAATACAACCATATGCTATAATTTACATTGTTTATTTGAACAGCAGAACCTACTTAGATTGTATAACACATATATTGCAGTTTTATTTAACCTGTCAGGTCGGACAGGCGTCCGTGGCGTTTTTCCCAGACCATGCGGTGCTTCTGTTTCATGTACGCTTTCCGAGCATCAGCATATGCACCAAGATCACCATCTAAAATAAAATCAGTTGATAGTAGGTACTCTAGGTGAAAATAGCATTATGTGAATAAGGTTTTATTTAACTTCTTGATTGCCAGTATACAATACACAATAGAAACTACAAAATTGTGTCTCGTATGGATCTGCGTTCTGGCAAACAATAGGTTATGGGTAGTTTTTTCAAAGTCTGGTTTGGACATTTAGTATATTTCTTAAATATAAAACAGAATTTTCATTGTACGGATGCTTTTCATGTGAGGCTGTTATTTAATTCAATGGACTTAATGAAACATTAGTTACCTTGAAATCGAAATTTCAATGAATATCCAGTAATATAGATATTCCATTTTATCTTCTGTACCATTGTATTTACAATGAGGTTATAAAAACATTTAAAAGTGTGATACTAGGCTTGCTGTTGCTTTTTAGAGAAAAACATCAACATACCTAGTACAAGATATTAACTACTTTTTACAAACAATAGTCCATGGATTAAATAAAATTAAGCCAATAAATTGCAAGATACAAAAATCTGCAGGTAAATAATATTGCATAAAAACTGGCAGATTAAATGTTATACTCTAACTTTCTTATTGGACCTATGATCCTTAATAGACAATTTATCTACAAAAAACAAAAATCTTACATTTGATAAACCAGGCCTCTTCAGATTCCTTGTACTTGTCCCAAAGAGGTTTGCAATGCTTAGCGTGGTCGGGGCGTTCATAGACCATGCAGTCTTCATAACGCTGACGCAGAATTCCTAGGATCTCGGAATCAACAGCCCTATGAAAATAGTATAGTTCAGTAATTTACCCTACTACATGAGATTTAAGCTAAAAAATCAATTTTTACGACTTGTAAAGATTTGTATATTTTAAATCTAGTGTTGTGTACAATGATGCCTGTATTTTAGAGATTTCATTAAATGTAATCAGTGATATTACAACTAGGTAAACATAATTGGAAATATTAAATTGTGACATACAAATTCATTAAAATTAGATTATTAAGGACCAAATTATTGTTATTATCATAGTTGCATGATGCCTGAGAGAAAAACAGGATTTTTGTTAGATATTAATGAAAATATAAAAACTATCTATATAAACGGCGTGTTATTATCACATAGCATTTGCAAGAGAATAATGTTTTTCTAACCTATCACGTTTGAACTGAGCGTTCGCCTCAAAATCGCAGACGACATCATCATCGTAGCATTGGTCAATGGTTGGCACACGACGGAACTTCTGATGGTACCACGGATACTTCTTCTGGTTCGGCTCGACAACCTTCTCTGAAGAATAACAACATCATTATTTGCATCGCACTTACATAACAATCAATGTTGTAAACTTAGGTATAGAATTTTACCTCGGAAATAAGTTACGGGCCCATCGATTGTTCTATAAAGGGCTTTAATAAATCCTCTGTAAGCATTCGTATCTTCAGTGACTTCGTCGTTTGTCATTATTCTATTCCAATAAAATCCACCTCGAGTTTCGATGAACTGAATTTACGAAGTAAAAGGGATCGTAACTATGACAGTTGATTAGTTGACATTTGACTTTGACATTTAAAATAGACAGATGATATTTAGTTTGTTAAATTTCCAATAAAAACTTAAATAATATTAAAATTAACTATTACTAAATTAATAATAAAATATATACAACTTAAGATTAAAATTGTATAAAAGAAAAAGAAAAACAACTATTTACATAAATCATCGAAAAATTCGTCCTCATCGACGTCGGTGGGGACAGATGTGGGACAGATGATAGAGTTGCTCTTTATTCTTAGGTCTTGGCATAGAGTTTAGTCCTGGACCTGAATTATGAGGTTACTTTGATTTTAGTAGTATTATTTGTTTATTTATGTCGGCGTTTGTACATTTATTACATCGCCTGGCGATCGAAGACGTTGCGTTGATGACTAATGAAAACGCAACGTGTTATTACTTTTTAATAACTAATTGTGGTCTTTAAGATTTAATAGAAATCAAGATTTAGCATTAATTTAATAATACTTTCATGGTAAACCATTTACCTCTATTTATCAGTTTAAGTTAGTTGGGCTTACTCAGCACAACGTAATGTCTATTCAAGGTCCTTAGTCTAGTCCAGTTTTCGTCAGATTAACGACTTAGGGATCGCAGGACGATCTCCGCCCACCGTAAGCGCAGGCCTGCTGACGGCGAGCATGGGTGGCTCGCCGCTAGACCAGAACCAGACCCGAGCGTACGGTGCGTCGCGTTCCGCGCGCCTCAAAGAGCTATCAGATCACCGCGGAAGACTTAACGGGTTGCCGGGGCTCCGGCTTGAAGAGCAGGAGTAGGAACGGGGTGGTTTTTAGTCAGTAAGAGTCTTCCTGACACTCCCTCCCGCCTCACCTAGGCGGGAGAAGTCAATCGATGATTTTTTCCCCCTTAAAAAAGAATGTAGCGCTATCTTCTCTTCTCATTTGTGAAACGTCAACTTATTTTCATCCTCTTAACAATTTTATTTATTGTGGATGCACTGACCAAACGCAGCTTGCAAATCATTCACGACCACCTGGTAAATTGTACGCATGTGGCGTTTTAATAATTATAAAGATGCACGCGTGCAGTTCGTAAAATGTTTGAGATGTGGATGCATCATAACACAGGGGGCGTCACAGCTGTATCCGTTAATGTTGTGTTTATCTAATGAAATTGATAAATATAGAGGTAAAAAGTAAAGAGGTAAAAAGACTTCTTGTACTTTTCAGTTTTTCATCATAGATATTTTTTTTTTTAAACGTTTAGATATAGATCATACGAAACGGAACCATGATGTCTTTTGTTTTCTTTTAAAATAAAATAAACGTGTATATACTGGGTTTGCATAGGTTGATGTGTAGTCGTCTGTGCACTTACACTACTCCTGTAGTAGCACAAATGGTTTGAAACTGATGTAGGAAAATCCTCCTCCATGGTAATTAATGGTTTTGCAAACAAAGAAATTGTCCTCTCTTTCAGATTTTTTCTAACTTTATGTAGCTACTTAGGTACGGCGTGCAGTGTTCTTCAGCGTTCAGATTAAAAAGCAAAGTTGGGCACACGTAGACACATGTAGAGTGTGAGTTGGAGATCTGGCAGGTGCCAATTAGACTTTACAGCTTTTCTGTCATCGGTCCACAGTATCTCTGAATTAGTCAGGAAAATTCTTTCTTCGTCACTGACCAATTTTGAGGTGCCGTGTTTGACTGATGCAATGGAAGCGTGGAAAATGGCTTGCCACTTACGGATTTACCTGTTCACCCATCTTCTCAGAGACAGTGGGACGTGCCGCTGTGCAGTGTTATTCGTGAGTCTTTAATCAACTCGTCTTCTAATACTGCAGAGAGAGCTCGCTTATTGGCAGCGGGAGAATGGGAATCAGATTGTGGCTTCAGGCACTCCCATCACCCTTCATGTGTAGACACCCTTGCGTTATCACATCTTCTAAGTACCGCTGCATGCGTTGGTGCAGCCGCTTCGTTCGTTTGGGGTCAAAACACTTGGGCCATGGGGACCCATTGCACATTTTGTTTTATAAAGGTGTGATAGGTAATGAGTATAATAATAAGTAGATACTTTCCAAGTCATACTTTCATACGTTAATCTCACTGATACACAGCGAACAAAAACAACAAAAGTGTGGAGAACCATGCTTCGGCACGAATGGGCCGGCTCGACCGGAGTGATACCACGGCCTCACAGAAAACCGACGTGAAGCAACGCTTGCGTTTTGTGAGTGAGGTTACCGTAGGTCCAATTACCCTCCCCTTCCCCAATCTCCCCAATCCCTGAATCCAACGATCCTCAAACTCCTAATCCCCAAAAAGCCGGTAACGCACTTGTAACGCCTCTGGTGTTCCAGGTGTCCTTGGGCGACGCCGATTGCTTACCATCAGGTGATCCGTCTGCTCGTTTACCGGCTTATGCCATAAAAAAAACATGAGAAAACTTTCATTTACAAATAACTAGCGGGCCGTCCCAGCTTCGGCTGGGTACTATTTCGCGATGTTTCTAATTAATGTGTTTAATCTTGCTTTTATACAACACGACAAAAAAAAGGATTATTCAATTCCATCCAGTCTTTTGACAGTTATGGGCGTGCATACATTTTGGTGATCTATTTTATTAATTGAGTAATTGAGTGAGAATTGAGCATGCGAAGAGGCCTTTACTTTGCAGAGGAAAAAAGAAATGCGAATACATGTTATGACTTACCTAGCAGGTTATAACTTTATTAAAAATCCAATAAAAGCTTAAATAATATTAAAATTAACTGTTACTAAATTAATAATAAAATATATACAACTTAAGAATAAAATTATATAAAAGAAATCCTAGCAGGTATTTATTTATATAGTTGGTACGGGGTAAGCAGTGACGCACATATCAACTATGTAGGTATGTACACATACATAATGTAACACCAATTTCTTCTAATTTTCTTTTACCTACCTATTGTTCATACATTAGGAACATTTCAGACTCCGTGCTATTACTGAGAATTTATTCTGAAATCCGAAAAAAATCAATTCGATCAGAATCAGAAACTTCTTGCCCGGCTGTCGTGCTTTTGATACCTACTTATTTACATGTTTATTACCTAATGCATATTTGAATAACATTAACATTCATAATATTTTAAGGCGTAGCTCCGTAATACTTATTATTAATTTATTAGGTCATTACTACTACCTATTTTAAAAGAAGTCATTTTGATGAGATTCGAACTCACACCCACAAATATTTTAATTGTGTACGATAGCCTTCGAACCAAATTAGATGCAAATATTCCATTAGCAAGCAGAATTCGCATCTGTTATTATCATTAAGTTGTTACGAAAAATGGAAACACTATTTTTATTTGTATAAAATGTTATATATTCATATAAAATGTTATATATTCATATAAAATTAATTTATAGTGTACATACAATAATAATGTGTACAATAAGACTAGATAAACGAATTGGAAGGGGGAGTACACTCACGTAAGTAAATAGTGCATATAAATTTTAGGGCATATTTTTCTTTGTTTAGATATTCAATACGAATTTGTTATCCGGGCTATACAACAAATATAGTTTCACTCTAATCCTTCCGTTAGTTCCGGATATTGCTCCGGAACTAATCTGTGCAAACAGATAAACATATAAACAGATTTTTTTTAAGTCAAATGTTATTATTGTATATTGTTCCGAAATCATCGTGTTTTTGTATGGTTTCAAAAATATTGTTTGTCCAGAATTGATATTTTTATTGTTTTTTTTATTTATGTTTAAAATACTTATAATAGATAGGAAGATGTCTAGGCCTATTGCTTGTCGCGGAGAACCTAACGGGTAACCGGGGCTCCGGCTCGACGTGCAGGAGAAGGAACGGGGTGGTTTTTAGTCAGTAAGAGTCTGACACTCCCTTCCGCCTCACCCAGGCGGGAGAAGTCATTCGATGATTTTCCCCCCTTAAAAAAAAAAGGCCTATTGCTTAAACTTATTTTCTGAATCCTAGACATGTTATTTGTATTTTCGTATCAGAAATACTGCCCACTAAGAATCTTAAGGATGAATTGGACAGCCTTGTGGACAGCTGATACATTACATTACAGTAGATACATTCTCCTTGTGTGGCTAGACTCTTTACACTGAGCGACAAGTCATTGAACGAAGGGCGGGGGCGCGCATGCGTAAATGATATCTACCAAATTGGGTTGCTATTTCTAACAAACCGCATTCATGATGGAAATATTACAATATCTTGGGCATATTTTAACAAAAACACGGTATAATACATTTTTCTAGCAGTTGTAAAGTGTCAAAATTATAGTAAAAGTTAATTATGTTGGAAAAATTAATGGTTAAATTATTTTTTGAAACGTTTATTGGCCATTGTATCAAATATTGTGGAGGACGAGGGGAGTTCTGTCAATCCACCATTGCGTATTACGTTAGTCAGTTAGTGTGGGAAGGCGTCGTGTTGTGTTTTGACGCCGCTCGCGGTGACAGCGCGGTGAAATGGCGCTTCGCTCCTGGTGATTCAGTCGTGTGGCGCGCGCGTTAGCCGCCACTGTCTTGTTGTGCTAGTGCCCATGCGAGAGCACGGTGCGTCGCGATGAGGTGGAGCGCGACTCCATACCGCGCCAAAGAGCGCGCCAATATCAGTTGTTTCATCTTTATTATGTTCTTTGCGGTGTTTGGTTTCATTATACTAACTGAACTGCTGCCGTCAAAAGACCCCGTTACATCCAACAACTCGAGATCTCGTAGTGATCATCTCCAGGTAAGGATCCTGTGTTTTATTTGTCTTATAAGATTTCAATAAGCTCACTGTAGTTTAGTAAAATTGGCCCTATTTTACGATAGAAACTAATCTGAAATTATATAGAATAGTTTTGGTTAAAAATAATATTATTGGTACTGACCAGAAAATAGATAAAAAAATTCTTCTACAAAACAAATAATCTCTGATAAAGTATATAATAATTTAATAATAATTTTGTTGAAATTAAACTTTAAAAAATTATAATGCCTACTGCCCAGCATAATTGTCAAAATATTCGTAAATAATAAGATGAATTTTATTAAAAAATATTTTAAAACATTTATTGGTGGGTAACATTTTTCAGAAAATAAACATATGCACCAATTGACTCTCCAAATACGTTATGCTTGAGAGGTTTACGTCAAGAGGTTAAAATAATCAGGGAACATTGATCAGATGTGGGGTCAAACACCGAACTTGTAGTGTAGTAATCTTTATCAAAATACCTGTTATCTGTTAATTAATAACAGTTTATGAGCAACATTTTTGACTACTGTTTGATAATAAGTAATTCCTTACGTAAGCTTTGTATGTTTATGTTGATGAGCAAGCTATTTAGTTCAGGTCAATTTTATTGTTGTCATTGACTTCAATTGGATCTGTGAATGAACTTATGGGTCAGTGTTGGTGTTAAACCTTATCGAATTGCTTATGATCATCAGTTCAACAGGTACTAATTAAGGAATTGCTCAAATTTTGTCTGTTTTTAACCATTATTTGTGTTAATTTTTTAATTTGTGTTGTTAATTTGTGTTGTTAATCCAATCCGGAATATTTAAAAAATTAACAAATCATTATTCTTATCTGTTTATTTTGCTAATTCTCAAAAGTATTTAAATAGGAAGGCACTAAAATTTTTTTAGTCTTGTATAGCTTTTTCATTCATAAGTATCCTTACTATCCTAACTTCCTTACTAATTTTATAAATCCGAAAGTGAGTTTGTTTGTTTGTTCCACCTTCACGTCGTAACTACTCAACCGATTGCTTTGAATTTTTGCAGACGTAAAGTTAGAGGTCCGGATTAAATAATTAATAGGGTACTTTTTAACCCGGAAAAAAATTGATATTCCCGAGGAAAAACAAAAGTATTGGTATAGATGGCGCTGTGTGTATTGGTATATGTCACATAGGCTACTTTTTATTCTTTTGTGACGCGAGTGAAGCCGCGGGTAATAGCTAGTTTGGACATAAATGACTTCCTGATCGGCCGGTAGGAAGCAACCTGCATTCAACGACCCTAAAAGTAGATTTTTATCTTGTAGGTGGACTAATTCTTCGACTTGACCTATTAAAATGATAAAGGTTACATTATAATTACATATACAAACTTAGGTACCTACATTTTGAAGGCATAATAGCATTGCGTACTATAATGGAAAATATGTAATTCGTAGCCGTTACGTCGTCGACTATTGACGCACAAGATGTTCCCTAGTTGAAACCACTAGCCTGGAAGGGTGCCTGTCAATTACTGTCCCCTTACTTGAAATGCAAGTCGTACGCTACGAAACCAGTTTTTGCAAACCAGTGACCCTGACGCCGGTCAAAAGCTTGGCCTCGAGTTTTTGAATAATAAATAAACGAAATGTTAAAATGTTGTAATCATTGGATTTAGGAAGTGGTTATCATATTTTGTGTCAAAGTTTACTGGATAAATATGTTAATAACCTACATATTTGTGCACAATATATATGTACCTATTTTTATTATTATCATCTACAGTTGTGGGCAGTCTAGGTTAGACCAGTCTTCTTTACATAAGAGGACACCCTGTTATTAGAGAAGACTTATTTAAGCTTATTTACATAGAGTGTCAAAAAATAATATTTGCTCTTGGCAAACGTGGGTTTATAGCAGTTGTTAAGGTCAGGTTTATCAATTTTTCAGTCTGTATTTCCTCAATCGGGTCTTATAACACCGGCAGAAGGAATAGAAGTGTTGCCAAAGGTACTTTACTCTGCTGTCATTGCATTTCAATATTCGGTCTTCAAACACGGCATAGTAACGCACACAATGCGTTGACAGCGCAACGCAATTCTGACGAAAAATGTGGCCAATTAGATACTTTTCAACGTGCCCCTGATCGCTTATAGCCTATAGCCTATCTATACCATTTTACTTATAATATAATATCATTGTATATCGGGTTCGATTTCCGGGTCGGGCAAAATATTACTAGGTTTTAAAAAAAAATTCACAGTGGTAGCACGGAGTCTGGAATTGTGCCCGGTATATGGCAATAGGCTCACCCCCTATTACATGGGACTCATAACATAAATTGTGAAAAGTGGGTGTTACATTGTACAGTGGCATAATGTACACCTCTACCTACCCCTTCGGTGATAAAAGGCGTGATGTTATGTTATGTATATCACTATCACTATCACAGTATATCGTGACCCTTGTTAAACAGTGGCATTATCGTCGCATTTTATTTTATGCGAATATAAAGAAGTCATCTGAATGTTTATATAATTGTTACTGGATTGACCTAAATATAATTATTTTGTTATTGAGTTCACTGTCAAATAAAATAAAATAATTACTTAAAGATTTTTTTATAGAATAGGAGGCAAACGAGCAGACGGATCACCTGATGGTAAGCAATCAGTGCCGCCCATGGACACCAGCAACACCAGAGGACCACTATGTAGTAGTATTTTGTAGTATTTTTTTAAGGGGGGAAAATCATCGAATGACTACTCCGGCCTGGGTGAGGCAGGAGGGAGTGTCAGACTCTTACTGACTAAAAACCATCCCGTTACTTCTCCTGCACGTCGAGCTGGAGCCCCGGTAACCGTTCTCCGCGACTACTATTGTAGTATAGGAGATACTATCGTAGTTTTTGATGAATGTAAAAATAGACCCAAATAAGTAACACTGATTCGATTTTAAGAGTTCTAGGACTCATCACACGCTAATTTATACTACTATTTATCCTGACTTGACTTATGCAATTGAAATGGGAACTACCTCGTCGGACACTGAAATTACGCGCCGACGACGTAGGTTTATACCTACGTCGTCGGCGCGGAAAATTATTTATAATAAAAAAACATGTGTTTTGTATACACTCCAGAAGTGTCTGTCAAGTTTCATCGTTAACATACGAACTAACAAACACATACAAATTAATAACGAAGTCTTGTACCATCTAGTGTAACTTCTGTTCTTGTATAAAACTTGAAAGTCAGAAAACTACGGCTAGTTTCCCAATGCGACCCAGGTTAGTTAAGTTAATGTGTTTCCATTCCCGTATACTTCTGTAGAAAGCTTTTACTTGCCCCCAAGTCCCAGATAGTTTCTACTTTTCTACACAGAAGAAAGCTAAACAAAAGTTTAACCTGAACAGTGTCTTAGTGTCTACTCTTTAGAATGCAGAATTCATTAGCACATTTTGTTTATATTTTGTTTGTAACAACTTTTTAATTTGTCTAAAAGCATCTTTTGTAATGTATTTTACAGTACAACGTTTTTATTTGTTTCTGTAGTCGTATCGTTAATGTTAGTATTCGTCTATTTTCTTTTCTGTCTGACTTCTATAAGTCACGTTGACTTGCATTACTGTTGTGTAAATAATTAACAATTAATTAACCCCCTAGTATTTATTTTACGTCGTGGTGGCTCGGAGGTTTAAGACGCCCGCTTCTCATGCATGAGGGTGCGGGTACGAAACCTACCAACGGCAAGTACCAATGTGACTTTTTCCGAGTTATATGTACTTTCTAAGATTATTTAGACACCACTGACAAACGGTGAAGGAAAACATCGTGAGGAAACCTGGGCTTATAATTTCTAATTATAAGTTTGTAATCGCCAACCCGCATTGAGCAAGCGTGGTGATTAATGCTCAAACCTTCTCCGTGTGAGAAGAGGCCTTTGCTCAGCAGTGGGCAGTTATAGGCTGTTGATGATGATTGATGATGATTTATTTTACTACATTAATAAATCTCAGTTACCTATAGTAATTTAATCGATTTATTTCATCGCTAACGTTAACTGTAAAACACAAATGAACTTAAGCTACATTGAACATCTGTAAACAGAGGCCTTAGTACGAGTTAGTTTTACGTTTAAAGTAATTGTAACGAGTACGCGTTCGGCGCTCTGATT